TCTTTTTTTTTTTTTTCAAATAAATTCTTATCGATGAGCATAGGATGATTTTGAATATCCTTTTAGTGGCAAAAATCAAAAATCTTTTTAAAAAATGGCATTTCTATTTCATCTCCTTTTTGAAATAAATTCTTACCTGACAGCTCACGATGATCATGAATTTAATTTTATCGGTCAAAACCAAAAATCTTTTTTAAAAAAATGTGCTTTTTCTACTGTTGACCGATTAAAAATACAAGAATAAGATTAATTATCTTTCTTTATTTAAAATATAAATTAATATTTACTTAGAAGTGTAAGGCTTTCTTGACTTAACCAAAATGTGTTTAAATTGAGTTGTTTGATATTGACCCTACACATACATAAACTGAAATCAGTCATTCACTCGGTGATTACGAATTAGAAACAATCCAAGTCAAAATTCTTGATGGTCCCATCAAAAAAGTTTGATGGTTTATGTTGGTTTCAGTGTGATTCATGATGAACCAACATCATTTGATGGTCACCATTTTCCAACATTTTCCAATACGTGCTCATGGTTTTTAATATGCCAACAAACTTTTATCATTCCTGGAAAATGATATTTAATTACTATGATGGTTAATCACCAAGAGAAGTTTGACTCTCATGAACCAACTATTCATGATGGCCGTGAAGGTTCCTGATGGTTCCAACTACACATTTCCATGATGGTTTACTGGGAATTCTTGTTGATTCTCAGCAATATACCATCAAAAAATTTGGGTTTTTTTACGTTAGACCATCATAAATCAGTCCGAATTCCTACATTGGATGATGGAGGGTCATGATCGTTCCAACATTTGATTTCTAAGATACTATGATGGAAATTCGTGATGTTTCTACATGAACAAACCATCCAAACAAGTTGCTATTCTTATGTTGGACGATCATAAATCAGTCCGAATTCCCACATTGAGATGATGGCTACTTATGTTGTTTACCATTAAGATTATGCTGGTCCATCAATGGAAAACCATCAAAAATTTTGACTTGGAAAGGCCGGCGACAGAGGCGGGAATTGCCCGGAGCACCAGGTTAGAGGGGTGGCGAACGAGATTTATGTTTTAGAATTTTTTTTTCCTTCTTTAAAAATATTATTTGTTTAAAAAATATATGTATAGGTTTTTTTTAATCATATATTCTTAGGTTAACTTTCTTTGTAGTTAGAGTTCTTTACATATAAGTTTTTTTTAAAGATGGAAAGAAAAATGTGCAGCAGAAAATTTATTTTTTGACAGTTTAGTTTCCCATTTTTCAATTCCGCATCTCTCAACAAGCAAGGGGTGAGGGGTCAATTGCCTTAAGTTTCATGTTTAAGTTTAACATTGCATTAAGGTAAGTCAATAAGCATATTAACAACGAGTAAGTATATTAACAACAGTGAGTTTATTTATAGGCGAGTGACCGAGTTCATAAATTCATAAAAAAATTTCTAAACCTACTAATTGTGTTACGAAAGTCAACAACAATTTTTCATTTTTTAAAATAATTTTTAACAAAATTGCGACATAGTGAAAGCAATTACCTTCAAAATACCATTCAAATATGTACATTAAAAAAAATAGACCACTCTAAATAACTTTTCGTCTAATGATCGGATCTACACGTTCTAGAACTCAATCTTGATGGTTCAAGGGGGTGACCTCAAATATGCTAATTAATTAGCGCTGAAGATATTTTAAATTACGAAATCAAACACAAAAACGTACTTTTTCTGAATAAACATATCTTTTTATTATAGATTCAGATTTTTGATTCCAAAAATATAGGGGCATATAAAGCAGGGAAATATGGTCCCAATAGTTTTGTCAGGAAAGCGGTCCTAAGTTTGGACCTCTTAATGTTTAATTTTTTGCGCATTTCACCATATCTAGGGAAAAACGAAAATTAACTTTAAAACGAAAACTTTTAAAACGAAATAGAAAATTTTTTGCACACAATTAAAAAATTCGTTTATCCAAAGAGCTAATGCTAATATAAATTTTAGTAAATATTTATTTTTTTATTATATTATTTAATAAGTGTTACAAAAAATTTAAGTATAGAATTTTTGACATCATTTTAAAGAATATAATTTGGCAAAGTTGTATTCTTTTACATTTAAGACATTTACATCTAAAACATTTAAGCGAAATCGGTCGAAGATTATCTGAGAAATCAAGTTTTAAAAAAGTCGTTTTTTTACAATTCGATATATTTCCGAGATTGCGGTTATCCCCTGTATTTTGGGGCCAAAAATCTGAATCTGTCGAAATAAAAAGGTATGTTTTTGTGTTTGATTTCATAACTTAAAATATTGTATGCACTAATTAATTGGCATATTTGAAGTCACCCCCTTGAACCATTAAGATTCAGTCCCAGAATTTATAAGTTTCGATCATTAGGTCAAAAGTTATTCAGGGTGATCCGTTTATTATTTTGCGCACTGTACATGAATAATATATTTGAGTACACACATTTAAGACTTAGATCATTTAAGTCTCAACTCCTGGTTATGAATATTGCGAAAAGAAAACATTTTAATAGCAAAAATCATTTGTATGGGCTTAAAAAATTAAATATAATTGGTTGGCATGCCATTTTAATTACCAATTCAAAAAATATTGCAATTTAAATACCAATTCGAATAAATGTCAAGACTGATTTAAACTTTTTATCGCAAAGGCTCATTTACTTGGTTACGCTTTTTTTAGTTCTTGAACAGCGCCACTAAGCTAAATTTTTCCTTAAAATATATTGCTTACAGTTTTACTTCCGTGTGTTCTTTTAACTAAAAGAAATTTATAACAGTTAAAAGTTCGTTTCATTTTGGCGAAAAAACCCTTACAATTGAATTTAATTGGCGCATAATTAACAGGTCCTGCAGTAGACTGATCGTAAAGACACGGTTCCCAGTAGAACATCGAAGTCAAGTATCACTGGTTGCGGTCAGTAAGCGGATGGGTGACCACTTTGATCAGCCTCCTAGAGACAGAGGGTTGCACGGTATTGGTCCTCGTTAAACTGTTCTACTGTAAAGTGCTCGACCTCGCTCGCAGGTCGTCGGGCTACCAAAGCAGGGGAGCCATCCCCTCTGCAGAGGATCAAAATTGCGATGGCATGTCTTCGGGTCAACCTCAGGGATGCTTCCCAGACCGTCGCCAATAGCCCATTGTGCAGCTCTAGTGCAACGTAAACTACCTACCTATAATTGACAATTGCAAACAAGTGCCGAGTTTGATTTTGACAAGGTTACTAATTTGATTTATTATCAATAAAGGTGCGATTGAGATTATTAGCATTTTTTTTTTTAATGTTAGCAGTTGTACAAACATTTTAATAACAAATTCACCATGATACCATAAGATCATGTAAAAAATTAACAGAGACACATATTAAATCCAATCTCACTTAAGCAATAAGAGTTTATTATTTCATATTGTCTTAATTTTTGATTGTATGATTTTTAAATCTCGAAATACTAGAAAAAAAACTTTTTTTAAAGGTGGACCAGCAGGTGGCCAGTTAGTATCTTATAAAATTTAAAAACAAGTATTTTAAAATATCATAATAAATCTCATCCTCAATTAAAGGACTGTACTTTTCACTATTTGAGACTAATATGACAGTTTTTTTTTGCAAGTGCAGGTATGCTAATTGAACTTTTTCTGTTAAAATAATTACATTTTCTTTTTATTTAGGATTTTAGGTCTTTAGTTTCAGTTTATGAGAGCATACAACTATGCTTTTATTCACATTTTAATAATATTTCGTATTTAATTTTTAAAAATTGTTAGAAAATAATCTAAAACTAAATAAATGTATAGTATTTGCCTTTTCGGCTTTTAGACTGGAGCAGGGAAGTGAAGTAGTTAAGGGACTTGGGAGTTAATAGATGGAGAAAGTTACCATCGAGTATATGTAGATGGGGTAAACGGACTGAGGCGGCCTTGGTCGGTAACCGGTTGTAGTGCCTAAGAAGAACCGGCTCTCGATAAATGTACCAGAGTTCCCTTTTCATTTTTGTGCTATTACATTTTAAAAAATTATCGTTCCGTATGTTCTGAATTTTGGAAATTTGTACCAGAATCGAAGTATCCTGAATTAAAAAAGGCTGCTTGTCGAATTATTTCAATACTCGGAACAACGTACTTATGTGATTCTTTTTATTCCACTTTAAAATTCGTGAAATCCGAACTCCGATCAGTCTTAACTAACCAGCATCGCAAACAATTATTGAGAAGTACTGTCACTAATTATTCATCAAATTTTAAAGAATTATCAAGAGAAGTAAAATAAATGTGTTTAATTTTAAAATTCAATGCACATATTTTTTTTTACTTTTATTTATATGTTTTCAATAAATATAATTTCTGTAAAAAAAATTTTGATGCCTTTTTTGCATACCTTTTAAATACGTATTTAATTGCAGCTCTCGATAAATTTCAAATTTTGAAAACTGGCTAGACTATCAAGGAGCTTGGCATATAACATATTAAGAATAAATTATGAAATAGATAAATGATACAGAGTTATTCATATCTATCCCAATGTTTATAATGCATTAATATTTCAGGATCAACAAATGTCCGCCTTTGTTACCGGTTTATAAGTCAACCTCATGATTTTCGTAACATTTTAGGGGTTCGAAATGTCGACTTATACACCAATATATAAGGTATATATATTTGTAAACTTGCAAACATTCAAACTATTTTTTTTTTCATTTTTTAAAACTAATTTATATTTTTTAAACTCATTTAAATTATGTATTACTTCTTAAAATATTTCAAAATAACTAATTTTTACTGCAAAATATTTAATATTTTCAATCTTTTTTTTTTTTAAATTTATCTTTAAAATTAAAATAAAATGTGTTTTATTTGCCACCATTAATATCTGCTTCAGGACCATTGTTTTTTAATGTAAGCCTTTAATAATACATAACTCACGGCTGCACTTTAATGTAAGGAAAAAAAATGAACCAGACAAATACAAAGTAAATATAATGTTTTGTTTATTCAATGCCATTATAAAAAACTGGGCATGAAACTTGAAGAAGAAACAGTAAATTAAAAAAATGCTTTATGTGAAACTAATGATTCAATTGAAAGTACAATGATGACAGATAAAAAGTCATAGAATAAATAGCATTCAATTTTGCTTAAAAATGAGCATTAAATATTACTACCACAAAACTAATTGATTACAGAAAAATCTAAATGTTAGTTAAGCCTCTTGTTCCTGAGCTTCAGTTATTAAGAAAAAGGTTTTTTGTTAATTTTTAAATTAAAGCAATTATTTAAAAAAAATTAATTTTTATATTTCTACAAAAAAATAAAAAATTATCAAATTAAACAATTTTTATAAAATAATTGATATTTAAAATTAGCAGGAAATATTTATTTTAAATAAAAATTGTGAAATCATATTTATTTATAAATAATAATTATATTTAAACCCTTTTCAATATTAAGCAACAAGTTTCATAAAAACAAAAAAAATTATAAAATTTTTAAGCAATTAAAACATAAAATATTCCTATACAAAAGTAGTAATTTTTTATAATAAACAACAGTAGCAATTTCTTATTATAATTAAGATATTATTAATTTAAAAAGCTTTAGACATATACTTCATTAAATGTATAAATTAGGATCACAATACTGAGCAGACACCACACACAAATGAGGTTTTCAATGAATAATTTAAATAATTATTGCTATTTACTGGAATATAATGAATAAATTACAATGAAGATGATTATGAATGACTGCATAGTAAGGTTTGAGTGCATAGAAAATCATTTCAAATGATTTTTGATTCAATAAGTTATTATTTATTGCTATCTCAAATAAACTTAGATTTTTTATTTTATCAATATATTGTGTATAATATTAAAATCGAGACAAAAGTGAGAGAAATTCTTCCAAGCAAAGGCAAATTGTTTAAAGCAGAAATTAATAGAACTCTTTTTTCTTTCAATTTGGCGATTTGAATAATATCTAATGTAAGCAGAAAAAAAGTTCAAGAATGAAATGATAAAAAATAATACAATAAATATATAATAGTTTTCTACCAGGCATACAATCATCACACAATCCAAACATACAATAAATCAAATATCAATCAATTATATATATAATAACAGCATAGAGCATTAGGTCAGATTTTAGTTTTTTTTAAATCTAATTTAATAAAAATATAAAAATAAAATATTAAAATAATGAGATCAAAAACTAAAATAATGAAATAGAAACCATGGTGATTTTTCCTTATTTTAAAATCTTGAAATAGTAAATAGGTGAAAAGATTATTTTAAAATTGCTTTCAGATCTAACAGGTACATTATTTTTTCTTGGCTAATTCGGGTTTATTAAACAGCCAGTTTATATTTTGAATAAATATGTTAATTGAAAATAATTTTATCCTCTCCATCAATAATTCATATGTCAACATTTATATACACACCATATACATCTTTGCATTCAAATATTAACACAAATAAAAAACACACATAATACAAATTATATACATTGAATTTTTTTACATATCTTATTAAAATAATTACAAGCACAAAACTGTTCACAAAATTATAAAACACCAATACATGTAATATATAATAAATAAGACAGCCTTGTTAAATGCACTACTTAAAATATAATTCTTTGATAAAATATTTAAAACACTTAAGATTAAAAATAACAGCTAAAAAGCTTTAAAAAATTACTTCTATCAGTCATATTACTGTTGGTCAAAATAAATAAAAACAAGTGCCTCTTACGATGATGAAATAGTTGGATGGGATTCTATACAGAGTTTTATACAAGTAAATAACGCTTACAAACAATACAAAAGTATTCGTCTTTTATAGGTATCACAACTACTTTGTACCAATCTGAGACCGCAAGAATAGCAGTTACTTTATTTCTGAGCAAGAAAAATAGGAGTGACATTTAAGCACTATCTTTCCAGGAACTAAGTTTGATTGATTCAATCCTAATTTAACTTGCTGAATAAATAGAGCAGAGATGGATACTGAAAAGTCTGGAAATTGGAAAACTGAGTTTTTTTATATGTGCATCCTAATATATAAATGACTTAGCTTGTAGGTGTTAACATAAACTAATAAAAAATAAACACACATATAATTATATTTAACTATACAGCTATTCACATTTTCCCTTAAACCTTCACATTTGACAAGGGAAATCAACTGGAAAGACTCATGTTGCAAGCCCTGCACAACACTCGGAGCTCCAGAAAACAGAGTGATGAAGTTCATCAATAGCTCCATTTCCTTTTTTAAATTAAGTACCAAAGTCCTATATACACGTACTAGAATTCGAACTAGTTTTCCAAGAATCAAGCTTACAGGACTCTTTAATTACATCTGTATTTCCTTTACATAAAGTTCCTAAAGATACTAATGCACTTGCTATTCCAAGGCCTGATTGGCCAGCAGGAGTGTATTCCTCTTCCCCTGGAGGTAGTCTAACAATAAGGGACAAAACAGCAGCTTTACCTCCAGAACAAGGTTCAAGTGCAATAGGAGTTGGATGGCACTGTAAAACAAAAATATATTGTTTTATATAATAACAATGGACAATTCTTATCCTGTAAAAATAATCAAATAATAATGACATTAAATTTTAAATATTTACATTTTCATTAGAATATAATTCTTTTCAAATTCAATATAGTGCTTGATTTTGAAACAAACTCTGTTCATATTTTGAACAAAGTTTGTTTCAAAAGATACAAAGATAATACTTTAGTACCAGTGTTGTGTAAAATGATTTGAAAAAAAAATGAAATCTATGATAGCTTTAACTGACTAAGCATTTGAAATGTCTAAAAATGCTTTGTCACTTGCTCTTCCTGCTAAAAAAAAACCTAACCTGGAATTATTCCCATAAATAATAAGAGCGGCGGCCACAGAAATTTCATTAGGGAGGCACATTCATTAAAATAATTTTTTTATCAATTATTATTTTTAATAATTGTCATTTTTTCATAGTTATTATTTAATATAATTAAAATTTAATATTTCAAATAACTATTTTTTTATTCATAAATGTTTCAGATATTTCTAAAACAGATTTTAACAAGTGAAAATCAAAAAATTTTACAAATAATTTTAAATAATTTAATTAAAGCCAGTAACTTAATCTTTGACAAATAATTTATACATTTAACAGCATTTTATTCAGATTTACAAAAAAAGTTCTACAAGATTAGGTTCAAAAAGCAACTTTTAAGACCAGTGTAGGAATTGGAGTAGATTTAATATGACATTTAACAAGCATTATTTCTAATTATTTCAAATAACAAAAATAAGTTAAAAAATATAATATAACTTTTAATTTATTAGACTTCTAGGGAGTACAAGTGCATCCTCTTGACCCTTCCTTGCAGGCACCCAGGCTTTTAACTATGCTGTTAGTAGTTGTGTAATTGGTACTTTATTTTTTTCTTCTGACAGATTTTTAAAATTTTAATTTAAAATTTCCTCTTTATTAATATTATTAAACTTGATTTGAAAGCATAAATGTGAATTAAGTAATTTTACAGATAATTTGCCATCAATGCTGATATCAAGAGTAATTTTATTTTATTAAATGAAATATTCATAATCCCTGTGGCAGAATCGCGGCGACATGGCGACTTTGTCGCAGAACTTTACAGAGTTCTTGCAGAAAGATTTTTCTTTTGAGAAGTAAAAAATTTTGGTTTGTTTTTCATCAGAAATTTCCACGCAAAATTCGAATCGCGCATTTAAATAATCACTTTTTGAAGCCCTCAATTAATGCCGTTATCGTTAATCCATTTTGATTGTATTTTCATCAGTTATTGACATTGATTTTCACGTGGCGTTTAGATGTCCGGATGTATTTCAGGTAGGTGATATGGGAAATTCGAATTGCGCATTTGATCATTTACTTTTTAAGGCAATCATTTTATCAATTTTTTGGGCATTTATTGCTTTTGATGTCCACATTGTTCTTAAAACCCGATATTTTTCATACGGTGTTATTTTCTACAACAATCAAATCTGAAAATGAAACATTGCATTTGATTAACACCCTTCTGAGTAGTCCGATTCACGTGATTTCATCGTCGATCTGTTTTTCGTTTATTACTGCTACAGATTTCATTATATTGAATTATTTTTTTAATGTGATGATTAGCAAAATGCGATAAAGGAAATAATTAGTGCGCCCTCCAACAATATGCGAGAATATTGCCCATAATATTAGAATATTGCCCATAGATATTTTTTTTTTAAAACACAGCGTTTTAATTACCTTTAATTAGTAACATTCATCATTGGTATTATTGAATGTACATTGCAGAAAGATATTAGTGCTAGAGAGTTTTGTCGCAAAAAGCCCGAAAAAATTCTGCCACTGGGTTCATAATGAAAATTTATCTTTTGATTTCAAAGTTGTTTTTAATTTATGTACACATTTTATTTTGGTAGATCAAAAGATAGTTTGCTTAAAAAAAATTTATAAAATAAATCTACCTACCCTAGTGTTCAAATAAACTAAGCCTCCAAATTCAATAACAATAAAAGTTTTTTTAATTAATAGGGAGGATAATCAGATAATTAATTAATAGGGAAGGCTATCATTTTTTATAAAATAAAACTTAACTGAGATACAAGTTTTATTGAGGAAATAAAATAAGTAGTAGTTATTGAAATATGGTTAGGATTGAATAATTTATAAATACTACATATTCTTAGTAATTCAGGCTTATAAAATTGGGAACTGCCAAAATAAATGGAACAGAAAAAATAAAACTTAAATGAACATCAGTAATAATGTTGTTGGAGAGTTTTTTTTTCTTCTCTTTTGTACAATGTAATTTATTATAGAGCCACTTAATTTTTTTTTCTTCTTTTAATAATTTAAATAGACTATTAGCAAAATTGTTATTTTGCTGCTGTAACCATCGCTGCCACTCTAAAACAATTTTAAGAGTGAACTTATTTTTTGACCAATTAATACAATCTAACGTTTACCAGAATTTTCAGAAATTTATAACTTAATTTACTCAAAAACGAACAATTCTATGATAATGGAACATATCAAGGATTTGATTATTTTTCTAAAAATTTCTCATTTTATTAATTTACATTTTTACAGCAATTGAGATAAAAATAACAGCAAACTCTATACATCATTTTGCACCAATCACTGAATAATAAACTACTAATTTTCTCATGAAGCTCTTCATATCTCTATTTATTTTTCGCTTCACCATTATTTTTGTCTTTCTCTATTTTTTTTTTTTTTTTTTTTTTTTTTTTTTTTTTTTTTTTTTTTTTTNTTTTTTTTTTTTTTTTTAAACAACCTTATTTTAACGTTAATCAGCATTTCAAAACAATGGGGTGAAATGAAAACTGAAGCAATATTTAACACAACAATACTAAACATTTTGTGAAAGCAAGCAGGCACAGAAGCATTGTTTATAGACAATCATTTTTTGCATAACTTTTTACTTAGCTATGTTTTTGAATACTCTTGTGTAATAGAAGTATCAATCCCATTTTTTCATTTCAGTCTGGCATCATTACTTAATCATTTTACAATAATTATGAAAAATAACAATGCTTTCATTGAAATGTACTATATTTTTAACAGAAAATATTTATTAAATTTTTAAGGAAAATAGGACATTTTTATTTAAAAAACAAATGGAAATATTGGTTAATGAAATTTATTCTACTGATTTTTCTCAATACTGATTTCAGTCCCCAGGACTGTAATGTGGTACACTTGGGTAACAACTCTGCTTCAATGCTCACTTTTTAGGAATATTTTTCTAGTATTTATAAAACCTATTACCTCTAATATGTAATTATTTCAAAATTTAACAAAAAAATTTCCAATTTTTTTTCAGGAAAAAAATATTTTTTCATTGGCATACACTACATTTTTATATCGTTTTGACAAAAAATTACCATAAATAACGGTGTTATACAATTTAATGAATGTTCTATGTTTCATAACAAATTTAATATTTAATTAAAAACAATAAGGCTGAATATTATTTAATCTTAGTAATTTCATTAATTAGTCTATTATTTTATTAGCATTAATTTTCTAAAAAAATAAATTACTGGAGAAAAAAACTTAAAAATTTATTATTCAAAATGCATTTATTATTGATTTAAATTACAAGTCATGCAAAACTAAACAGTACATTCAACATTGTATTACTATACATATCTTTTAAACAAATGACAGCCATAATTTGCATTTAAAAATTAACAACAATGTTCCAGTAAAAAAAAATCATAATTCCAACTTTAAATAATAATCTATGCCAAAAAAATAATTTCTAAATAATTAGATTTTCAACATTTTAAACTTTATACAAAATATAAAAGTAAAGAAAATGTATAAATATCGCTTCATTAAGAAATTTCATATAAATAACTAATCACTTAGAGAGATTACTATTATTAAGAGTCAGAAATAAATAACAGAATACTAAATACACATTTAAATAAACTATGATATAATACAAATGTATTTATACTTTCGATTATAGGATATAATAGAACATATATTTTATAATATTTTCCAAACTTGTTGTCAATTCAGATTTTTAAATTTTTGAAATGTTTCTATGATATTCATTTTATTACTGCCAGGTTTATTAGTAGGAGACAATAAAGATTCTTTAAATCTTGAATAAAATTTTAAAATTATTTTTATTAAAACGCTTTGCAACAATCAAAGATCACTTTCAATCTTTAATTAAATTAAATACTTATAATTTAAACAGAATCTTTGTTATCTAAAAGAATTTTAATAAAAATTATATTGAAAACATTTCCTACAACTTTTTCTACTTGTTTGTATGCATAGGTTCTAGATAATATTCCAGAAATAGAAAAATAGTGATTTAAATATTTTGCATACTACATTTTTTTAAATATACATACATATACATACATACATATACATACATACATATACATACATACATATACATACATACATATACANCATTAAATATTCTTAGAAAAAAATTTAAAATAAATAAAATAAATTGGTAATGAAAGATTTTAAACAAACCTTTCAGGGGCATTTTAAAAGCAACATGATCTTTAATCCTGAATAATCTCAGTAGAAAAAAAAATTTTTGAAATAAATATTAAACCACAATAAAATATTAAACCACCAAAAAATTTCTTCTTTCATATAAAAAAAAAGCATTTAGTAAAAATTATATAAAAATATAAATAAAAATTATGGACGAAATTAAGAATACTTTTTAGAGAGTGAATCTTTAAAGAAAATCATATTTTTCTAGTTTTATTCAGATAAATTCTCCATATGAACCACAGACATGCTATTAAATTTGTAGAGATATAACTGTGAATTTGTTTTTTAAATGAAATATCAATGCAGAGCAATCCTGCTTTCTTTTAATTTTTAAAGCAGGTTCAAAAATTTTGAGACTTAGCAATATATCTGGAGAGCTAAAATTAACTTTCTCCATTCAAATTCTATTTTTAAACATTATTTCTAATAGTGTGTATTAACACAAAAAAAAAAAAATTCTGAAAATGACAATCAATACGATAAAAAAAATTCTAAAAGTGTTTTTTTTTTCTTTTTTTTAAATGTATTTTGAAGAAAAAATAACAAAAAATACTTTTAGCTAAGATTAATAAAATATATTTCTTACAACAAAAAAAAATTACTAGTAATATTTAAAATTTGCACAGATTATCAAAATATGTACAAATTATACTTCTGAATAAAATAAGTAAAAATTAAAAAGAGTGAAAAATAAAATTTTCAATTTTTTTCTGATTTTTTTCTCATTTCAATTTTATCTATGGTTTTATTCATTTTACATATATTCACATCAAAACTATTGAAGTTGAAGTAACATAGGTATTTCTCACACAGTTAAAAATCCTGCTAAAACTAATTCCTAAAAAGCTAACAAAATATTACTTTTAAGACCCCTGCTAAAATACTTTGAAAATCCTGCATAAATGATTCTTCATAATAAAAGCTTTTTGAAATCTATGCAAAAATACTTAAAATTAAAATAATTGAAATTCATACTATTACAAGAAAACATTAATAACAAGGATGTTAGATTATTTCTTTTAAAATGCTAGTGCAAAAATACTAATAAGAAATACTATACTTAAATAAGTAATAATAAAAATATTACTGATTTTAAATTTTCATTCTTTTTAATTAACTTTATTCAAAAGGTCTGCACACATAATTAAAATACTTTTCTTTCTAAAACAGTCTAACAAATCATTTAGTAATTATTAGCTGTTATACTGCAGTAAGAAATTATTATTTTACGATTTTAGAACAGGAGCATGAGTTAGTTTAGAATTGATATTCTGGACAAACTTTTTTTTCATTAAATAACTAAACCTTTGGTATAACTAATCCTCGAATATCCTTTAATATGTTTGTCCACATTGCATGCATAAGGCATATAATCTACACCTTTGTTTATTTACATGGGTTTAGTTCCATCAAATCAGTAGTCATAATCAATTACTCACAATTGTAATGTTTAAAACTGTTAAGCTGCCACATTAAATATGCGAATACAACTATTTTAGGCTGTTGTGAACTATAATTTTTCTTTCATTGGTAGTAAACTAAAGGAGAATTTTTAAAACAGATTTTTAAAGAAAAATTTATATTTTAAGAAATTTATATTTGTCTGTATGACTTTATATGTATCTGCTCAAATTACTTGTGTTTAGTGGTTCGCAAAATTGTCTTGATTCTAATTTATTCTATTTATATATCTGTTTAATACATTATCTTTGCTACCAATAAGAAAAAAAATTTCTGTAACTACAGAGAATCTGTAGAACTTTAGAGTGTTTCATCTTCTTTTGTTTCACTCTTACAAATTTATTGTAAAAAAAAATTTTAAAAATATATAGCTAGGACAAAGAATCCAATGCCTTAAAAGCATGTTATTTAAAATTTGAGCCATCTTGACATTAAACACCAATCATTCTATAACCAATATTTATTTTAAATATTTTGCTCCTACTCTGAGATACACAATTTCAAAATTTAACATAATTATTTATTTCAACTAGCAAATACTACTGAGTAATAAAGACTTTGTCAATAGCAGTTACAATTACTTATCTTTAAATGTAATGAGAATGCAGAACACACTTTTTGTTATTAATTTATTTATAAATTGTGTAGTGAACAACTTTATACAATAATCCATCTAAAATTCAAATAAATCACAGTAAAAAACAATTATATAAAATTTTATAAAGAAAATTACCTTTTTACGGATTATTACCTTCTTTCGGCGATCCTCGCTCCCAGTGTGAGCTGATATGATGACAAGTTGAGCATCTAATTCTACTGCAACACCAGCAAATGGCCTACTAGCCATTTGTTCCATTTCAACAAACAATCTCTAAGTAGTACAAATAAGATATCTTAAAATTTTCTTCATTTAATAAGATAAAAATGAAATTTCAAGATAAATTCAAAGATAAAAATAAAATTTTACTTCAGTCATTGAAAAATAGTACAGAACTTACAACAAATTTCTTTGGAGGAAATCAAATGTAATTTATGAGTAAAAAGCTCTCCTTTTGAGATAAATCATTGTTTTTTAGTAGTTACACAAGTTAGTTGCTAACTAAAACCAAATGTTTATGAGTCTTGAAAAGTGTATAATAACAAACAAAAAAATTATATTTCATTTTTCCTCTGTTCTTACTATGTTAGAAAGTTATAACTGACAATTGTTTTGTGTACAAAAGATACAGATTTTAAAGGCATAGAAATAACTATAAAGGTTGGTTATTTTTATTTCAATAAAATTTTTTCAATTAATACATCTAAAATGTATGTCATATCTATACATTCTATATTATTTCAAATAAAATAATTCATCTTAACAATAACAGTTATTGAGCAGTATGTACTTATTTGAAATGGAAAACATTAATAGGTTAAAGGATAGATTGTAGTACTAAATATTTCCATTTTTATTCTTAATACCCGTAATATATATAGGTAGCAATTTAGTTAAACTTTGTATTAGATGATTTGGTGGAACAGTAGATTATTATCAGTTATTAGAAGTTATTATTATGATATCCTTATTATGCATCTTTAATACTAATTTATATTTCAGGAAAAAATTATACATTTCATTGATTAGCCAGATTATAATTTTAAAAAATTAAATCACACATTAAAAACTATTTAACATAAAAAAAAAAGTTAATTTTCACTAAATTTTATTAAGAAATTCATAGTAACATTAAATAAACTTCATTTCAATAAGAAAATAATCTTCATTGTAATAGGTGATGCAAAAGTTTGCACAGCTTTTAGCAAAATATATTGCATAATCATTTAGTGCACTTTTAAGTTAAATATAATTTTGATGCAAATCATCGATATTTGATTTTTAATAAATTATATTCTGAGACAATTTAAAAGTTAAAATAGATGGTCAACTTTAGACAAATATGAGCCAAAATAATAATAATAATAATCTACCAGTAAACAAGTAAAAAAATTATTTAATTTAAAGTTAAATGAATCTTGTCGAAATACATTTTTGCATATCAACATAAAATATAAATCGAAAAAAACGATAAATTTCATAAAAATTACGACTACCTGAAAAAATTATATAATAGAATTAAATATCAGTTTATTCAAGAATTATAAATTACAGCTAAAAAAAAAAACAAATACGAAGTTTCCTGTCACATTTTCATTTAAACCTTATAATTGACTTGAATTAGAACATTTGCATTAGAACTAATATAATTGCTTACACTATAATAAAATATATACTGAATTTAACAGGACTGCTCCATCTAGAAAACTATGTGCTTAAGTAACAAATGAAAATAATTATGTTGCTTAAGGATAGATATTTCATTTAAGTTCATAAGGGTGATAAAAATTAAAATAATAATTTAATGCTTGACAAATAGTTTGTTTAACAGTCAAAACAACTACTTCAAATGAAACAAATAAGTATTTTCTATTATTATAAATCTTATGATAAATTTCAAACAAATTAAAATAGTGCATTGTTGTGGCTAAATAGAATTGTTTACATTTAACGTTTTATAAGGCCTTGGGAAGTATACTGCTCATCAAATTTATTAATGTTTAAGTGTGGAAACTATTTTCCCACCTATGATTTGCGTGGCCATCTGTTGATAACTTCAGAAAACAGAAAAAAATACCAATAAAAAGGGTTTGATTACATAAATGTAGTTAACAACTAAGGGTAGAGGCATGTCAAGGTTAAGAGCTAAATAAATTCTTTTTCTTAAATCAATCATAATCCTAAAATATTATAACATAACATTACTAAAATAAATGATCCTATAGAAGGTAAATTTAAATGTTTGCATGTTCACATAAAATTATTACATTTATTTAAAAAGACGAAATAATAGAATAACTTACTTGTCTTCTTCTATAAAGATCATATTTTTGTTTTATTTTCCACATTACAGCAGCCATTATCAAAAGGGATAAAAAACAACTGAAAAAAAAATAAAAGTTAGGACAAACTGATCCTGCATTTAAACACAAATAATAAAATACTTACTTAAAAAAATACTAAATATAGCAACATTGACAAATACTTGGCAAAAATCAATGGAGATGCATTGCATTAAATTATATGGCCCTTTATTAATACTTAAAAAAAAATTTAAAACTTTATTCTCATTTAAAATGAAAAAAAAAACTAATTTTTGATTATGAGGGAAAAAAAGTAATACTGGAATAAAGTAATACTGGTTGAGGAAAATAAAAACTAAATGGTTCACTATAACAACTGACACTAAGGTAAAAAGTTATATTTTGTAGGTCAATTCAAAATATATCTAGAGTAAGTAAGTAAACCTTTTTTAATTGAAAATTTCTGCAAATAAGCTTTATAAAAATATTCATTTAAAATTTCAGTTAATTTTCAACATATCTTTTATAGTTCAAAATAAAAATATCAGCTACAAATGGCATTTATTTTTCAACATTCATCACGAGGGCAAATTTAGTTTTTCCTTCACAAATGAATTTATTTAAATGTGGAGATATTGCAAAAGAGCAGGAATCAACAAGAGTGCTGGCTGCTAGCTTAAAGATTTATTTTTCAAAATGGCCATATTTCACAACTATATAACAGTATAAACTGAGTCTAACAAAAAATTATTTGAATAAAAAGATTACACCTAAAAATTTTGGGACATTTGTTTTTTGAAGAAAGCTATTTTTACAAGCATGATTTTTACACTCAAAATATAATGATATCTTAATAATAAAACTAGAGCAAATTACAAGTTTCTTTAATGTAATCTGTTTCTGTTTTTACATGGTAAAACACTTTTTTCTAGCTTTTGATTGAGCAAACAAACTGATGCATGAATTGTGAGAATCGGATCAATTCAATACTGGAATTTAAATTTTATGTTTAAAATGACGGATAAAATATCTGTAAATGATTAAATTTAAACAAACAAAAATTAAAATTTCTGCCACAATGTATTTTCATAGCATTTCTCAAAATAGCAGGCTGATGCAGAGTAAGAAACAAAACTACAGAAAGTAAAATCTATTTTACTAATTTATAATTAATAAAACACTGAAATACGTTATTTGCTCAGATAGCTTTTGGAGTTGCAAATAATGACCTATCTATTCTTTAAGAAATGAATACTTTTATTTCCTTCGATGTGAAACAGTATTGTTAATATGTAAGAATAATAGAAAAAGTGTTTCAATTTATGCTAATTTCCATATAATGCCATAATATTTATCACTGCAAAGAAAAAAAAGGGTAGGCTGCTGAGGAACCACTAGCTGATAATCGAGAATACATTATTCCGTATAAGAATATAATTTATTGCAATATACAATACAATATTGCAATAAATCTAGAAAAATAGAAAGGTATCATCTGTGCATAAAATAGGCCGAATTTTAAATCAATTCATGCATAAGCTTGGCTTTAGGAAGTGAACTGCACATTCAAAGTAAATTACAGATATTGAAATTTTATCATATTTACAATATTAGATGCTTTATGTTCCAGCTAACATTAATACAGGTGAAGCATTAAAAATGGTGCATTTCAGATTTGAAAGATGGTAATAAATTTTTTAACAGGGTGCGTAGCCAAATATTTCCATATAAAATAAGCACCTTTTAAGTACTTTTTAAGCAGTCAAAAAATATTTTTAAGCACTATATACATTGACAAAATGAAAAATAATTTTTCAAAGATTTTTCATGATCATGATAAAATAACTAGTTTCTGACAAATAACTCTTTTCTTGATTATATTAGCCATAATAAAATGATCAAGTTATTTTTTGGTTCGATATCAGAGGGTGGAAAACGAAGTCTGAAATTGGGAATATCTTGCAATATGCAGCAGAGTTGCTCACGAGGGTGCAATAATCTAGCCGAACCCAGTTCAGTAGATGCGCATATGGACTCGCAAGTATTTCATCAAACATGTAAAATAATTGGCGCTTTCATACGCTATGGACCGACGGTACCATGGATAGTGGTTCAGTGACTGAAATGGATAGTGGTTGAATATATTGGGAAAACTTTGAATAAAACAAAGTGAAAAGCATGTTTTTGCATAATACGAGGCGAAAATCAACATGCTAAAGAAAACACATTTCATTTTCGAAAAGGGAAAATTAAGCACTTTTTAAAAACACCCAATGAAAAAAGCAGCTTTACGGGCTTTTAAGTAACGAAAATTGAAAATAAGCACGTTTAAGCAGTTTTTAAAAATGCTACGCACCATGTTTAAACTTAAGATTATCTACAATATATATATTCTGCACAAACTAACAAAGCAAATTCTAAATAAAAGGAGGATATAAATAAAATTATAACACTCAGCTAATAATATTTCATTAGTTACCTGGAAAAAGTAATAAAAAATTGTAAAAGATCAAGCTGCCTGTGCTGAGAAAAAGAGATTTGTAGTACAAAAGGGGTGTTGAAATTGAACACATAAACATAGAAAGTTGAATTGTCAGCACCAAAGACATGATCGTCATGTGAAAACCGAAGTTTAAAAGTTCCACACTTGTGATTTTCATCTAAGAATTTTTCAGGAGATGAAGCTGTAGAAAAAATTTAAAACATTAGCCTAATTATTACTCTTAATTTACCAAATAATTTACTTAATGCTTAAAAATTACACATCAACTTACATGAAGCAACTGATATATTAACAAGAGCTGAATCTGAGCAAGAAATCGTGAAATCAACATCTACATCTGGTTTTACAGGAATATTCATAAAATTGATGTTTGTGTAATGACGATCTTCCGGTTTTGACATATTAAAAGTGTACTGAAAGTCAATTGAGAGATTGTCTGGAAAAAAAATTTAATTGCCAGTGTTAACCAATTAAATAGCTATAAAATAAACACATGAAAATAGAGAACTATGAGCTTAAAATAATAATAACATAAATAAATATTTAGTACCGATAGAACTATACCAAACATCAAATGTTATCTTGGCAAATTAAAAAGAATTTATCATCAAATTCAAAAGAAAGAAAAATATCTTAATTTGCTAAAAAATTATACTTTATATTAATTTAAATTGCATAATTTCGAGTACATTTCTTTATTTTTCAATTTTTTACAATTATTCAGATATAAATTATTGTAATGCTAAGCAAGTTGCAATCAGCTGAAATGTAAGATAATATTTTTTTAATTTGCTTGTTTCATACTGCCACTTGCTATGATCATATTCATTATCCAAGAAAAAAATTTTTGAAACTGATAATATTTTTAAACCTCTGAGCCATAGTTCCGACTTTTTCCGAACTTTTAGCTACAAGCTTCTCTCCATCAAAAATCAGTTTCCCCGAAGTTCATCCCTTTGAGGGTTAATAACATATAGAACTAACAAAAAAAACACATATTTTAAGAAGCATATTTTTCTAGTTTTGCTCCTTGACAGGTCCAATGATATGTAACTCCTTTTAACATGTACTAGTACATAAGACTTAATTCAAACTTATTGTCTATCTTCAAAACCTTAGAAAATTGCAGCTAAATACAGTCAAACCTTGATCTATCATTCCTACATCTTTTGTTGTTTTTTTGTATGCATCGTCTTATTTTAACAGTCAAATCAAAAATGCTAATCTTATAATGTTAATAATACCCATTTAGATCATTGATTAAACTAAGAGATTCCAGAGCTCAGAAATTCAACTGATATTTAAAAAAATTTTGAAATTATCTGGATTTGAGAACAAAAACAGTAACTCCTGGTGCTAATGATGAACATACTGAAGAGTTGTTACAATGAAGAATAGGTATAACACCTAAAACTGATTGATGTTTAAGTATCAATTAATGAAATTGTTTAAAATTGTGGTGTTGTTGGTTCAAGAAATGGTTGCAGAAGCTAAAAAAGTGCTAAGTGACACTGACAAAGACAACGAAACAGCCAGAGCCAACATTTGACAAAGGCCTTAAGGTTTATACTACAATAAGGGTATGTATTCAAGCAAACAAATGTTAAATGTTAATTATTTGCGCTGAGAGGAAAAGAGTGTGTTTAAACCAATATTTCCAAATATTTTTAATAAATAAATGCGTCTAATAATTTTTTTTTCATATAAATATCTATGCATTAAGTTCATACTTTCTAAATTAAAAATTATTATGCGAATTGTAAATTTATTAACTTTCATTACTTCTTTATTATTTTTCATACTTTTTCAAGTCATCATTTGGAATTTTATATTAAATCCTCATTTATTACTTTCCCATATCTATTGTTTGCAATGAATGATCCCTTTAGAAATTATTTACATTCTATTGTACTTTAATAAAAATTATGTATATGACTAAAAAGAAAATAATAAAGTTTGTATCACTCTTTTTATTAAAATTAAAATTTATTTTTACAGCTAATAGCTTTAAAACAAAAGTTAGTTTAGAAGTTAAATAGTTTAGTATATAAGAGTTTTTCTTTCAATATCAACTATCAAAATCAATCAAATCAAAAAATACTTGAATAATAAATAACCAAATAAGTACAAAAACAAAACTTTTCTTCAAAATTAAATTTTAATTATGATATTATACAACTCACTATGAGTTACTAACTAACAAAATAAGATAAGACATCAAAATAAGAAACGATATTACTTAATGAGTAAAAGTGTAAAAATTAATTTATTAAAATATACAATACCCATTTAACATTATTATTAAAATACGCTATCTAATCATTTGAGATAAAGAGAGAGAAAAAACACAGCTACAAAATTTTAATCTTTGCTTTAAATATATTTGCAATCTAAAACTTATATTACTTTAGAAGGGCAGATATTAAATTTCATTCATTGTAATAACTTTCAAAACTCACAAACATTTATAATTTTATATATTTTAATTTAAAAACTTGAATTAAAAACATTTTATTAAAATTAAAAAGAAAATTTGTCAAAAAAATTTTTTTTTCCATAGTTTTGCAAAAATCCTTTTCGAGATTAAATAATTTCACATAGTCAGTTAAACAAATTAGACATCTGCTTTAAATATCCAGACGTGCCAACCTAGCAAAATTAACATTCAGGAGTTTCCCTAACANAGAGTTGGCACGTCTGAATATCAGTAATTGTGGCAATGATATTCTTTTGTGTAAATATTTTTGACATAGTGTAATATTAGCATATCTTACAACAAAAAAAAGTCATTCAAAATTAATACTGAAGCACACATTTTAAAGTTCCTATTTAATCAAAAAACAAACACAAAAAATAAACAAATATTATAACTTACAAAAACATGAACCATTTTCTTCCTCAGGATTGCCAACATAGTGATTTGACTCATCACACCTGTGTATTGCAATATACAATTATAGTTGAACAGTATTATAGTACATGCCATATTGATACAACATTAATATATTAAGAATAAAAATGTTCCTGACAATAAAGAATAAATTATAAATAATATAAATTATCAGTATTAAAAAAAAAGTCAAATCTTAATATGAACAATATAATTTTTTAAACTAGCCTAACTAAAACATAAATGCAAACATATAATAAACTGCTGAATACAATAGTAACAGCAAAAACATTAAGGGACAATATTTTCATCTGTTGCCAAAAATGTTAAAGATGCAGATTATGCTGATTAAATGATTTTTGCTCACGTAAAAAAATTATTAACTTATTTGTGGAAAAATACATTTTTTGTATAAATTTACATTATTGTTAAAGTAATTTTCTGAAATTTAGATCACTAATTTGCAATTAAAAAACTGATTCAATTGGTAAGTTGCATATGATTTTTTAGGAATTCTAAAAAAAAAAAGTTTGCTTAAATAAAAATAAAGTTTTAATAAAGCTTAAATATGTTTCATACATGTATAATTTTAGAAACTAAGAACTAATTTAAACCTATTGCAATGGGGTCCATTAATCCCTTTTGTAGTGCAGTAACATCTCCCAGTTTCTCGATGACACAAGTCACCATGATTATTACAAAAGCATGGTGTGCAGTTTCCTCCATTAACAGGATCACCATGGTAACTAGCCATGCATTGTTGACAATGGCTTCCTTAAATAAAAAGAAATATTAACTGCAACTATGAGTTTTTACAAATCATTTCAATCATGACAATCATTTCATAGCAATAATTTTTCAAATAAATTCATTTATCCTAATTTGAGTCTGGTCCAGCCATATAGTGCTCTTTGTTTACATTCTACCAATATAAAACAGGTGCTACAAAATTGACAGACCAAAGCCTACTTTATCAAAGTCGCTCGCCAAACAGGCAAAACGAGATTCCATTTAATTCAGTTTAAAAAAATATGCATAGATACTTCTAATAAGGGTTCCCAAATAGATTTTTGTTCAAAAGGCTGATACAAAATATCAAAAATGCCATTTACTTAACTAAATTGAATTCTTTACCAGCTTAATGCTTTAACAAAGTAAAAATAGAATAGTTCGAAAATTTTTAAATTTTATTTTTCAAATATTTTTAAAAATATATACTGAAATTTACCCTCTCACTAAGTCAATAACTCAGCAAAATATATTATAACTCATACATAAGCCAACTTAACCTATTTTGTTTAATTTTTATAAAAACTCAACTGCTTTTTACCATGAAAATTAATTAAATGATTATGAAATTCCATTTTCCCCCCAAAAAAAGATTAAACATTTATGAAAAATAATATACTTCAATAATGGCATCAAGGTATATTTGAAGTATTCATTATTATGTTACTGACATATTTTAACAAAAAATCAACTTAAAAATGCCTAACTTGATAACTCAACTTTAATAAATGGTTGGATTAAACCACTAAGGCTTGACATATTTGTTTACACAAAAAAATTACTGTCCAGCAATAATACTATTAAAGAGAGTGATAACTGCTATGAGACAGCAGCTACTAATAGATATTCTGACCATTTATTAATTAAAAAGAAATACGATGAAGGGAAATTTCATAATCACAATTTATAATCTTGATGAGCAGACTATATTCAATTTGAAATACCTAAATATTATTAAATCAAAAGATTCAACAGCTAAAAATCCTTACAATTCAAAAAAAAATATTAATAACAATTATTTTAAGTAAAATAAGTCTTGTTTTGTGCAAAATTGTACAACACAAAACAATAACGAACACATCCTATTTATTTTTACTAATTCAAAATTTCTAAAAATTTAACCTATTGAACGATAAACAGCTAAAGGCATTTAAAATAACTTTTAAAAAATAAACAATCTTATTTCACGCAATATTGAATCATAAAATGATTCCAAACACATTATTTCTTTTGCATTTAAATTATAATATCCCAGTTATAAAATAACTCAAATGATTTGTTACATTCTTGCAAACTGTTTCTCACCTGCACGGTTAGTTCTTTAAATTATTATTGATTGTAAATTATAAAAATAGACCACTGAAAAAGATAACAAGATGGGGTAGGAGTAATAATTAAATTTTGGAGAAACAATTCAACAAAATAGAATTTTCAAGCTCAATTAGTAATTTTAAAAAAAAGAAATCGACGAATAGGCCACTCCATTGGATACACTGCATATACAAAAATTTAATGTTTTAAATCATAAATGCCATGGCGTATCTCAGCAAAATTACGGTAATTGCATAAAAATAAATAAATACTGTAAAATCGATTCTTAAAAGAATAGAATATTACTAACTTTTGTTAAAAACAGACCTTTTTATAATAATTTATAAAAATTTAATGCCATGTGTCAAGTCATGGAGCTTGCAAATTTGCTTCCATTACAATGTATAGATAATAGGAAAGCAAAATTAATATAAGCTGACAAAAAAACTATTAATGATACTAAACATATCATAATATTTCATAATTATGATTGGAAATCTAACATTAAATACTCCTTTTTAAATGCCAAAAACAGTCTATGCAACGTTTCTAGTAGTCTATTTATGAAACTTAAATTTTATTTCTTTTCATAAAAATAGCTATAATATTTTTGTATCATATTGACAGTTAAAAACTACTTTATAAATAGATTTTAAACAGAGTAAAATTACAAAAGAGCTTGTAAATATTTTTCATGTATTTAACTTCTAAAATTTAAAGTTACAGCAACAAAATTTTTTTAATTAAAATATGTTAAGCATTCATTGAAAATTACTAAATAGATATCACATTAAATCATATAAATTACAAAAATTAATTAATTAATACTTTTCACAAATCAAAAAATTTAAATCCAGAACTAATGATTCATGATGTAAGCTTTTCTAGGAATGATTATCTTCATTTTTTTTTAATAATTCATGATTAAATAACATGATAAAATAACAATAACATGATAAATAATTATCAAAACAGACATGAAACAAATATGTCTGTTATTTAAGCATTAAAATTTCTTACTTTAAAATAATATTTGCTGCATTTGATTGGAAGTATCTATAATCTCAACATGCCAAAGTTCTTCAAAATAAAATCATTCTTATTATAATACTTAAATAATTCAACCATACTAGTAACATTAAACCAGATTTATTGCAGAATTTTACTGAAACACAGCACTAAGACATCAAAAAGAAAATTAAGGCAGTAAATGGTAAAAGGGGGTACGTAACATTTTTACGAAAATAAGTTTTTTGTTTAGGAATATTGGTGGTCAATTATCAAATACTTAGTAATTTTCTGAACTGCCTAAAGAAGAGAATCCAGGAATCCAGAGGAAGCAATTAAACAACTGTTTTTTTTTTTTTTTTTTTTTTTTTTTTTTTTTTTTTTTTTGGTTTGTCTTGAAAGTGCAGATTTCTAACTTAACCCCTTTTAACACTGACTTCTTCAATTGCTCACTTGCTCACAAGGCTAGACTAGAGCACAATTAAAAGCTTTTCAAACAATTTGAATTTAAAGAAAGTTTAAGGGTTAAAACTTTTTAGCACTAAAAACAAAAAAAATTGAAGAAAGATCAGTTACCTTCAGTAAGATGCTGGCATGGTAGTACGCATTTCTCAGTACCATTGACACAAGTACTATGACCATTACATTGGCATGCTAGAAAAATTAAAAATAGATTAAAAGAACAATAAGAAACTATTAATTTAAAATATAATAATCTTTACTCTCCAGATTTGCACTCTTTTTAAATAATATTGTATTCATAAATTATGCATAAAAATTTAAGAAATGCATTGCATTAAAAGCAATGGACAAAAATTTATTGCCATAAAAAATGCAAGGCAGATTATAACAAATTGTACTTTATCATGAGAAAACACAATTAAAAACTTCAGGAGAAAAAGTTGTAAAAAGGCAACACAAAAATTAAATTAAATAAAAAAAATAAGCAACACTTCTATTAAAATAATCACAACCCATCTCAAAAAATAATTATTGTCAAGAAAACCACATATCAGCTCAATATACAAAAAAAAAATAACAAATAAATAGATAGAACGGAATAATGGAAATAAAATATAGAAACTAATATTTGTATCTGGATTAGTTATAAACCCGGTAAATGAAACTCTCCTGCACAGCAGATAATCACGAAATCTGCAGATCAATTTCGTATCAATTTTAATACTATCATCTACAAGTTTAATTTTTTAGAAATATTTTTTTCTTTTGATTTCTTTATAGTGGTTAATGCGCTGTGCCACTATGTAAAACAATGCATACAAATGTGTGCAACTCCTCTTGAGCAGAGCGATTTTATTAAACACTAATTCTCTTTTTGAAACACCTCTGAATTTGTTTTATCAAAAACATAATGCTGAATTCCTAGATAATCACACAGGACAAAGAGTAAAAAAAAGTTACTTTATTAAAGGCTTTTACAATGTGTTAAGTTAAAATCCGAAGTGAAACTTTTAGAAATACGAACTGAAACTTAAATGTTAGCGCATGTGCGCATCCTTTGGATAACCTCCCCCAAATACTTCTATATTAATTGGCTTTACGTATGAGATCTGGATGTAAGATGTTATGTTTGTCTGCTTGTTAATTGTATACCATTGTTGATGTTGTTTAGCTGAATAAAATATGTTATTAAATAGTGTTGGTATTATCCTGGACCTTCTAAACAGTGACATACAATAGAAATATTTATTCCAATTTTATAAAGTACATTAAGCAAAATTTTAATTGAATTTGTCAGGATCCTGATTCCTCTCCCACGCATTTGATTGACCCCTTGACCAATCACCTTGGTCAGAGGGTGAAGGACACTGCAGCTGTCGTCCCCTACATTGGGGGTGGAGCAAAGGACTGTTTCTGATGAGAAAGAGGATTCTTAGAGACGAGATTCGTTTTGAACGCCGAAGAGTAGAGTTGTAATTGAACGATGATAGATTTAGTATGAACAAAAAGAAAGGGAGCAGTTGCGCTCCAAAAACATTATACTCAACAGCTCATGTCTCTATTTGTAACTTTTCTGTAAATAATTCTATAATCAAAAATTTAATAATAAATAAGCTATAATTGAAATAGTCCTTGGTCATCATTAAGAGGACATAAAAACGAACCAAGAGACAAAATGTCTCACAGAATTTAAATAACTAAGTTTATGCATAGTTTTTAAACACCTTATATTTGAAAATTTCACTAAGTATGCATCTATATTAAGTTGATTTTTTACATTAATAATTTCTGTCTAACTGCTTTGACGTCATAATCAAATTCAGGTTTATGAAGATAGTGCAGGAAACTAATGTTATAAACTCTGCTGATAGGGTAAATATGTAATGAGATTGTTGATTTGTTTATTTAGTCATTTCAAAATTGGTGGAACAAAGATTATTTAACAGATAAACAAATCTAAAGGAAAATAAGAAAATTCAATAAGTAAAATTTGCCACAGTCTTAATTTAATAAAAATATTTATATTATAAAAATATTTATATTATAAAAAAATTTATATTTTAAAAAATTTAATAAAAATAATATATTGATGATATATATAACTCTTTTCTTATAACAATTATTAAATAATCTATCATGAAAGTGATAATTTAATCTTTTTTAATTATGTACTAACTTTATTGATAAGTTTTATTAAATATGATTGGTACAAGAGGTAAAATATGGGTAAATTCTGTGGAATCAAATTTTAGGGTGACTGGGATAAAAGATGCAGCCCAGCTCAAAAAAATAAACTGCCCTGGCAGAATTTTGAACAGGAGGCTTTGGCCCATCCAGGGCTGTCATGCCAAATATGATGTGATGTTGATGAGATTTAAATAAAATTAAGGCAAACAAATTTAAATTTCATAAGCTGAATTCATCACACATTTATTCAAAAAATTTTACCTGGACAAGTAGTAAAAAACCATTGCCCTGCAGAGCAAACAGTATTGTTCAATAAATATGTAGATTGGCCCATAACAACTGGCCCAGCTGCTGAACCTTCAAGACATACTCCTAATCCAGTCCCACTTCCATCATCACACCATCCACACCTAGGATTCTTCTGACATTGGTCACAAGTTTGAATATCTCTGCAGTTTAAACCTTGAAAAAATTATTTCAATCAACACAAAATAGATTTCTTTAAAAAAAATGAAAATAAAATGCAGTTGAACCTCAATCAATTAATCCTATATCTTGCTTTTCGTATGTATTGTCTTGTTTTAACAGTTCTGTCACAAATGATATTCTTATAATGTAAATAATACCTGTTTAAATTGTTTTTAGTTTATTTTGAGAGGAAAAACAGTAACTACTAATGCTATTGATGAAGATGGAAACAGATTCGTTGCAGTTTCGGGAAAAAACTTAGAGTAAGTTTAATGTTTATGTGTCAGTTCATGAAAATGTTGAAACTTGTAACATTGCAAGTAAAACTGATTTGATGAAGATAGCAAAAAGGAGCCACAACCAGTACCAACATTTGCAAAAGATCTCAAGCTTTTGAAACAAAGAGGAGCACTTACCGCATACTGGCAATTGATAGTAATATGTAACAATTGTCAAAAATTTATTATTTACATTGAGAAGAAAAGAGTGTGTTCAAACCAAAATTTCCAAATATTATTTTTAAAAAATGTGTTTATTCATTTTTCTTTTGCATTCTAACTATTTTTGCATTAAGTACAGAATTTTTTTGATTAAAATTCTTCATACTTATTGGAAATTTAGTAATTTTAAAGTCCATCTTTTCATTATTACTTTTCTTACGATTTCAAATTGTTATTTGATATTTTATGTTAACCCGCATTAGTCGTTTTCTCGCATCTATCATTCACAGTTAATGGTCCCTTAAGAAAGGATGGATCAAGGTTTTACTGTATACTTTCAAAATAAACGTTTAATGAATCTGTTTCAATTTTTAAAGACAAAGTATTTTATAGTAAATTTTCACATAAAAAGTTATTATTTAGATAACCAAATAATACATTTTAATTTTTAACAATCTTAAAATTCCATGAACAATTTTTTTTTTTTTTTTATTTTTATTATCAAATTAACCATAAGTATTTTTTTTAATTAACTGAGCACAAAACTATAGTAAAAAAAAAGTAAAACAGTTTGGAAAAGTAATAGCTATCAGGTGAGAATTTTTTTCCTTCAAGAAAATTTAATAATCTCAAGAAAAAAACATGTCAGAAAAGTAGAATATTATATGAATTTGAACCTAAAAATAATATATGTATATATATTGATAATTAAGCTTGATAATTAAATATAACTTGATAATTAAGTGATTCTTAACTTTGATCCTAAAAAAAATATATTTATTTCCATAATCCTTTTTTATATACAAATAATAATTGCAATCTGAGGTATTTGAATCGTTGTACAATTTCAGAAACTTTTCAAGAAAAGTAAGCATTAAATTACAAAGTGAAAACGTACAAGCATGTACAATTAACAATTTAATCCAAAAAAATACAAAAATTAAATTCATTATTTAACAGAATTCATTTTTTACAATAATTAATAAATTTATTATTCAAAAAAGTCTGCCTAGTAGCTGATTATAAAGATAATCAAAGGTTTGATTACATTAATTTAACTTATGAGTGTAACTTAGAAGGTATACAATAGCAAAAAAACTTTTATCACTTAAATTACATATTATTTTTAAGCATAATTTTGTAATATGAGGCCTCGAGTAACTGTAATATTTCAACAAAAAATGTCAATCAGTTAAATGTTTAGGTACCTGGCTAAGACAATTAACTAATTTTGAAGTACCTGGTTCAGTAAATCAGGTAAATATTTGGATACATGTCTAAGTCAACCAGGCATTTACATATAAAATACAAGATGAAATTTTGTACCAAGTGATAAAACAGGGAAAATATAATGCATAAATTTTACTATACCTCGACATTTTGTCATTTGAGTTGTCCATTCCATACACTGAGCAACAGGAAATACTGCTGCATATGCATTTGATTCAATGCATATTTGCTGGCTGCTACACCACATGCAAGGACCTTGAGTGCAATTTTCACAAGTGGTTCTACTACTGCAAGGAATTTCACATTTCACTCGATAATCATCATTAAGAATTGCTTTTTCAGTACCATTGCCTAAATGTAAAGAATACTTTTTTTAATGGAAAATAATACAATTACTATGAACTAAAGAGAAATAATGAGGATATAATTGTTTTACTGAAGAATATAGTTAATATGGTATTATAATTTAAATACATTCAGTCAAGATTTAAACATTTTCATATTACTTCATATTACTAAGAAATTTTAAAATTAATTGATTTTAAATTGAACTTAAGGGTCAGAGGAAATCAAACTAGTAGCTAATTTATGACAAAAACCAAAATATTTGCTTTGTTGAAACTAATAATACTATTTTTAAACACACTTAATATAATGTAATTCATTAAAATAAATAAATTTTAAGAACTATTTTGAAAACTTTCTCCTTCCTTACTAATTTCAATTTTAAAACAAATACCATATTGACTTTTAAAATAATGATGTTTCAATTTTAATACACTTAAATATTACTATAAAAGAATAATATATTATAAAATATTATAAAAGAATTATTGAGCTTCACATAATCAAAAATTTTCTATGACTTTTTCATTGTGTTCTATTTCCTTGAATTTAAAAACTATAATCTTTTAGTACAGAAATTCATGAAGAAAATTCCTATAGAAACATAACAATAAAATTTGAGGTAAAAGTTTAAGTTTTGTATAAGTTAAAGACATAAAATGTAATTAAGACTTAAATGCAAGATTTCTAATAATGATTAGAAATTTTCCATAAATAAACTTAATAAAATAAAAGTGAGAAAATTTCAAGGAATATTTTTTATTCTTATTTAATAAAAGTAAAATAAAGATTAAACTTACAACAACAAATATAAATACATTTAAAAACTTAAGAATTTATGAAATAAGAAGCTCTGTTATGAAAATAAAAAAAAATTTACGAAATATCAATTGAAAAACAAACATATTATTCAATTCTCTATTCAGTAAAGGACACTTAGTAGTTAAGGGTAAGTAAAAAAAATAATTCTCTCATTTAAAAAAAAAAGCATCAAGCTTTAAAAAAAAGGAAAGGTTCAAAATAATTTGAAATTTATTCTATCATAACTCATAGCCATAAGTGTGTGCAGACACTATTAGGGTGGGCTAGTAAGCTCACATTGTTTCATTATAATTGCACTTTTTATAATTTTTCATTCAACACGAACACCATAATTTCATATTTAAAAATAGTACAATTTAAAAAATCAGGCACGTTTAAATTTATTGCAAAAAAACTTTTCTGAATAATTTTAAATAAGGTATTTGTACATTAACTATTCATAAAACAAATGATAAAGCTTCATTCTAATTCATTTTTGTACAAATTTTCAATTTTGTACAGACAAAAAATAAAATAATAACCATAATTTTTTTAACGTTACAGGGTTTATAAACAATTACTGAGCATTTAAAATTATAACATCTCCAAAATCTCTGTATAGTTAGTTGAATCTTGAAAACTTAACACATAAAGCAAGTAACACAAGAGCGTTGAAGAATACCTCCTCTTACTATAGTGATTTGTTTGCACTATACTTAATTTTTTGTCACATAAGAAAAATTGTTTTCAAAAATAATAATTATTCATATTATTATACATGAATAATCATATACTATATTATTTTATAATATATGAATATTACCATGATTTATTATAATGAACAAATATTTCAAAAAAATATTCATTTATTTACTTCCTCTTTTTAACAGTTCTGAACATTCACAATAAGCACAACCAGCTTTCTTTACAAAAAAAAAACATTTCAAAAACTCTTAAATAGAAATGAATTACTTCTTAATCAATATTAATCAAATTTGAAAAGCATATCACAGATACCACAAGCACTTTCAAAATCATACAATAATTTTACAACTATGAAGAACTTTACTTGATTCTCGAACAAAAGTATAGCATTTTTCATCTGTTTGCCATCCGCAATGATATTCAGTATGGCAAGCATGGCAGTTATGGAGTTTGTCACAATTGCTACTTTCTGCAACTTCACATTTCTCTGGAACGTTAGTTTCCTGGAATTCATATTAGTGGTAAATAATATGCAGAATAAAATATTTAAATAAATTAATTTAGAAAGATCTTAAATCATTGGATAGCATTTGGGAGAATGTATCTTTCTAATGCACCTTTTTTCTATCTAATAACATGATTTTGCTAACAGAAGAATGCAGATTGCAATGAAATTTTCTATGAGAAAAACTTCCAGAACATCTAAGCTATCACTGTGAATGACAATAACCTTAAAATGCATATCAGATATCTTTAGTTTTTAGTTACAAAGCCTAAGAGTCAATGTATTTAAAGAGGGACAAGGCTAAATAGACATCAGTAACAAATGCAATGCAAGTATGTCTCAGACATATGAAATAGACACATAAATTTAAATTTGAGCATTGATTTTCAAAAATTCAATAAAAAGATAATTAACAGATAGCTAAATAGCACAAGATGGAAAAATAATGACATAATAATTAATCAGTGATGAAATATATGTGAAATGTAATAACTTGGAATGAAAATAATTTATTGAAATTAATTAACATTAATAAAAATTAAATAATACTCTGAATAACTTAGTAGAATAAAAATAATTTATTGAAATTGGTTTTTTAATATTAGAAATATTTAAAACATTTTTTTAATATTTTGATTTTATTAAAAATTATTAATAATTGGACATCTTTAAAGATTTTTTTTAAAACAATTTAAACTTTATTTGCCTATATCACAGGTAATTGAAATTTTCAAATTGTTGTTTACTCTAAGATTTTCAACAACAAAAAATTAAAAGTGCCATTTGGGAAAAAACTCTGCATAAAAATTCTTAATGGATCAATTGGATGTTTGTTTTCTAATAGATCTAATTTTTTAAAAAAACTATTAAATAAACAATAATTTCAGGCTTATAATGCAAAATAAAATTTTAATAACCTTCATTTACAATAAAAAAAAGTCATAACTTTTCATCTATGAATGAGGCAATAAATAAGAAAAACACTTCTTAATATAAATTACTGACTTCTCCCTATCTTAACAATAAACAACAGCAATGAATCTCTAAGAGAGACTGCAAGATGTGCCAAGTATGATTGAAGAGACAAAGACATTTAAACAATCAATATTTTTTTCAAAGATTTGTTTTTAATAAACTGTATTTAAAAAAAAAGATGCAAAGGCTGCCTTGTTCATTCCCAATAGAGGTTAATTAATTTGAGCATGTAAAAATATATAGGTGAATTTTAAAAAATATACATTTCTTCAAAAAAAAGCAATTCCACATCAAAAAAAATTTATGATTCTCAAAGAATATAAAATATTTTAAATCAGCTTATAAAAAGTTGTTAATAAAAAAATATTAGTTTTCTTTCCAAATTTATAAATATTTCTCTCAGCTTTACAGGGTTCACAACAAGGACTTAAAAAAATTTTTAAAACTTAAAAAAAAATCGGTCAACTTTTGCTAACTTTCAATAAAATTTTACATTTTGAAAAGCTGTTTCAGATATTTATTTTACAAAATTATATAACACATTTCATCTTTATCATCTCCATTGTTTAATGGATCACTTCAAACATTTTGACTTAAATATTAAAAAAGACAGAGATACATATAATAGAATAACATAAATAATTTTTTAAAAAAAGTTAAATTACAAAATTAAACATAGCGAAAGAAATAGAAAAATTGGCAAAATAATAGTCAACATTGTCACTCAAAGGCATTACTTCTAAGTAATTGAATTCCTGTATTTTTCAAATGAACATTTTTGTATTAATTTGATGTTCAGGTAATGTTTTTTTAATAATCAATAATAAAAGCACTAATCTTTACAACCTAATCAATCTCATAATTTTTTTTATAAAAATAACAGTATTTAAGTTTTCAAGAAAATATCAGTGCATTATTTTTCCAAAAAAAAAAACGTTTTACCTTTATATTTTTACCACATCGGCCATGTGAGCAAGATGAACCACACCAAACACAGCCATAGGTGTTTTCTAAACAGCTAGGGCAAGATGTTAGACGCCCACATAATGAGGTCACATTAGCTATAACAAAAATCAAATTATCAGTTAATAATGCATTGAAATATTTGCAGCAAATATAAGTAAAAAATATATGATTATACAAACCTCCTCTCCTGGAACATGTATGATAGGAAGCAACTTTTGATGTTACTGAAAAAGGTTGGCAAATTTTCTTTTCAAAATTCCAAACACACTTTATTCCTGGAGCAGCTTTTTCACAAGCTCCGTTGTTAGCATTTTTCTCACAAGAGCCTATGAAGGCAATAAATACTTAATCAATAAAACATTCCTAAGTTATAAATTTCAATAATTTAAAAAATTTTAGTTTGTATGAAAACATATTTAAAAAATTTCATGCAGTGTCTTTTCATACAAAGTCAATGACTTGCACTAACATGTCCTCTAGGCATCTGAGAAGAGAGGCTGCCCTCGAAGTGATTAACATTATACTATTGAAGGTATATAGATTTACGCAGGTGGCAGTAAGAATGAATGTGGAGACACTGGTAGTAGAGTTTATGTAGGATCTGGAGAAGAATAAGCTACTCTTAAACATAGAAATACTGACTTTCTTTGTCTTCCAGTCAGAAGTGATCGCAATAGATATAATAGGTTGGATTCGTTTATGCTTTGGAGCAAGGATCAACCGGAGAAATATGGATTTTCAGACAGCTGAAGTGCGGTTCAATATCTTGATAATTGGAGAAATGTTAAGAGACTGGAGGGGGATTGTTGTCAAAAATAAACTCAAAAACCTATGCAAAACTTCATCTGCAGTAGATACCATCTCATGTGAACCTAAGATAGAATGATATTGCAAATAAACTAGCTAAGGATGCACTGCTATGCATTCAATAAATGAGGATCTTTTGACTTATCTCGAATTATACTCAAAAAGAAAAGCCACTATTAATATTTCTTAAAGGCAACCAGTAGTGCATTGATGGTATCATTGTGAAAGTCTTGGTACTGCTATAAAATTTTAGGAAAACAGAAAATTCCTAACTGCTTTGGCACATTTAACTTCTGGCCACTTCAAGACCCTTAAATTTTCATGTAGTTTTAAAAAGTGTGAGGTTTGTACCATGCACAATATATGCAAAGCCAATCCGCACCTCCTACCCAGTTACCCTACATTGCGTGAGGGGCGATGAAAGTGAACTCGTGGCTCTAATCTGATTCAGATAAGAAGAATAAGAAAGAAGAACATATTTTAAAAGATATTATTTAATTAAGTAGAGTGAAATTTAAACTGAGTTAAAAGAAAGGATAGGTAAATTTTTGAAAAAATTTTATTGCATTCATACACACTAATTTGCAGGCAAAAATGCAAAAATTTTGTTTAAATTAACAAAAGGTTTGCTAATTAGAATACAAAAATGTAATTCTGAAGGTTCATGATGGAGTACAAAAAAAAGTTTTATGATTTCAGTTTTTAATTTAACACATTTTATTAACTACAACAACTAAGATGAATATAACAAATGGAAAAAAAAGAATCCAGTTTTAACAATTTTTAGAAGTAAATATTAAAACATCGCTATTTTTAGTGCAACAAAAACTTAATGAAATATTTAAAAAACAATTAAACTTACCAGGAGTTAACTTCTGTATATCATTCAGCATTTGTCCATTAAACCCTCCAAATACATACATAGAACTAAAAATTATTAAAGAATATAGGTATATTTAAAAGTATATGCATGATGAACAAAAAAAAAGGTATAATATTTTAGTTTCACAATTCAAACAAAATCCTACAAAAAAAAAATTGCATTTTGTAAGGGCTAGAAAATTCCAATGTTTTTGCATCTATTTTAATGTAAATACACATTAGTCTACATTTAAAAAATTGAACTTTGTTAGCAGATAATGCCTTTTTTACGGCAGAATGCTTCCTAAACAACTACATTTTTGTGAGCTTATTTGCTTCTGTATAATTATATTTTAAATAACAAATAAAAACATTTTAAATAAAAAAAATTATAAATTGGTTAAATTCATGCTTAACAGTATTTTCAAAAGGAGCAAAATCAGTTCTTACACAAGTGACTAACGAAACAGTCGAGTTAAAAAATTATAACATACTTATCATTTAAAGATAATTTAGCCACTTGAAACTATTTGCTGAACAGGCATAAAGTGACGTTAGCTTTGAGTATAAAACTAACATTATTTAGAACTACTATATAAATACATTAATAAAAGCCCATTGAAACAAAATGATCACAATACTTCAATTTCATTTTGATGAATACAAAATGATTAGTAACATAATAAACTTGATCAATAGAGAGCAAAAAAATCTAAAACCACAAGCTGCTTAACTGCTATCACCAAAAAGATTAAGAGAGAGAAACTGCACTATATTTTTAAAATAAAAATGCACAGATCATATAATGATGCATTTTTCAAATTTAAATATCTCCTCAAAAAAAAACTAAAAACACATTTTAGTAATATTTCTGAAAAATCTTTACTTTATATATAGCATATCATTAATTAAGTACAATATAGCAATAAGTGTTTCAATTTTTATAAATATACTAATCTGAACTTCCATACAAATAAATAATTAATTCAAAAAAGTTACAAATCAAAAACTTTAAAAAAGCATTTACCCATTATATACAACTGCTGAATGGCCAAATCTTGCTATATTTTGATTGTGAATGGATGGAAAATTCATAGTATGCCAGGTATCACACGCTAAAAAAAGTTGAAAAAGATTTTATAATGATAAACTGAAAAAACTGACTGAGTTTACATTAAGATAATATAAATATTTAAACTAATTTTACCTATATCATAAGCTTGAAAATCTGCTGAAAAACATTGCCCACCATTACTATAAGAAGTGCCATTATGGGTGTTTCCTCCAAAAACAAGCATCATTCCATTTAAAATAACACTACTATGAAGATAGCGATGAGACTGGCTAGGAGTTAGTAAAACCCTGAAAAATTAACAAAATAATTACAAACTGTAATGTGGATCAATAATCATATCAATTTTTAACTTATGTTGCTGGACATACCCGTGTCATGTAAAAATTCTGATCAGTCATAGATATTTCACTCTTACTTGCCTGTCTATGCATGTAAATATCTAATCATAATCAGAAAAAGAATTCAGTGAAAATTAAAACACCATTGCGAAGAAGTTTTTTTATTAAGAAAAATAACACTCTCGACCTCAATAGTGGTCCATATATTGGAGGGGTGGTAATGATTTCCAGGTTTTCTCCATATGTCAACACATTGGCAATTATTGCTCATGCTAAATATAGACTCGTCAGTAAAGATAACATCAGCCCGTTGCTCTTGCGTCAAGGCTGATATTGCTTGCACCAATTCAGGCAGACTTTCCTGTGAACTAGAGTGTCCGAAACGCACTAACTTCTCAAAAGCTTAAACCTAAGATCTTAGAACTTGTTCAGATGTGTTGTCTGATTGAATGTAAGGCTGGAGGAATGTAAGGTCAAGATTGAATGTAAGGCTGGACTGGTTGAGGAACATCATGAAGTCAAAGATATTAAAAGAAATGAGTGGGTAGCCAGATCATGAGACCTCAACAACATGAATTACATATAATAAATCAATTTAAAGTTAAATTTTTATGCAAAATAAATACGTCTCGTACATAGTTTTATATGATAATATATAAAGAAAAATGTATTCCATCTTTAGGTAACAAAAAACGCAAATTGATAAATTTTACGTTTATAATAACATAGCTTCTAACACCTGAGATTTTGGAGAAATATTTCTTGCGTGAATATGCAAAATAAATATGTCTCGTACATAGTTTTATATGATAATATATAAAGAAAAATGCATTCCATCTTTAGGTAACAAAAAACGCAAATTGATAATTTTTACGTTTATAATAACATAGCTTCTAACACCTGAGATTTCGGAGAAATATTTCTTCCAGTGGTAATAAAAGAAAGCGAAATTTTTTTAAAAAAATAGAATTTCTATTAAACTTTTAAAGGAACTTAAGAACATAACCAAGCGATCATTTGACCTCGCATAGATCTGTTAAAATTACATATATGTAGTGGTAGACAAAGTTATTTTGATTCTAATCAAATAAAATATTACTACATTACCTTTGCTACCACAAGGAAAAAATATTTTTCTAAAACTGCAGAAATTCTACAGTAAATTGAAGAGTATATAATAACAGGAATCATTAATATAGACTGACAATACTTAAAATAAATATTCAAAAATGAAAAATTTACATTGTTTCATTTTAATGTAAATAAATATTTTAAATTGAAATAAAACAGATTACATAGAAAAAACAAACAAAAAAGAATTACCAAGTATATTCCCAAGAATTATAAGCATATAAGAAATCTACTAAAGCTGCTTCTGCTCCATAAGAATGATAACCGCCATACACATATATTCTTTGAGTTCCACTATCATACACACTAGTATGACCATAACCACCTTTTACGATGGCTCCTTTAGTAACAATTAGTTCCCAGTGGTTGGATCCTAAAATGTTGAAAGAAAATTATACTCAAATATCTATTTAAAAAATATATTACAGTTTTAAGTCCCATAGCCAGAATCTGGAAAATAGATTTTTCCAGTTAATAGGTCTTTAAGGTAAACAAACATCTAAGCATCATTAGTAAAAAAAAATAATAACAGATAGACGATTATTAAAATCAACATATAAATCCATGGGGTTTGCAAGGTTGCGTTATTTCTGCAGCTTTTGTTACAGATTTCCACATGTTTTTTAAAATCTTGATATTTTAATATGCCATTATATCATACCACAGATTCCAAATTACGCACTTCAGTTAGTAATCATTTTTTGATCCAACCAATTAGCAACGATTTCACAGTAAATGAATCCTCATGGTTTTGTTCATTGTTTTTTTTTTTTTTTGGTAGTTATTAAAATGGATTTTGACTTATTTATTAAAATCTCAATATTTTTATCTGATATTATTTGGTTCAGCAAACTTCCAACTGCGTATTTCGCACTCAATTATTGAGAATTCACCCACAATCCCACATGGATTTACAGTCGCATTTTTGTCAGTGATTGCTTTAGATAATGTTAGATTTTAACGCTACATTATATACGAGAAATTTTGAAGCACGCATTTTAGAAGTTACTTTTTGACGATCTGGATTCATGACAATTTTATGGTTCACATGGTTTTGTAGATCAAATTTTCAACAGCTTGGGATTTCCATAGTTTTTAAAATTTTGATTTCATTTATAATGTATTTCTATTACAATCCGCGAATTCTGAATTGCGCTTTAGAATAATCCCTTTATGACCCACTTTAGTTGTGGCAATTTCATCTCAAATTTTTCAAAATTTGTCAATGTTTTCAAAATGTGAAAATTTGGCGCACTCTCAAATTGAGTGTGTGATTCCTGCCAGTAATAGTTCTTCTAAGCAAGAAGTGAGAAAAAATACACTATTTTTTTGAGATATAGTGAAATGCCAGATTTCATTTCTGTGATATCCAATTTCTTTCATATTACAGTGTAAATTGAACTGAAATAAATAAAAACTTGGAAGTCGGGTAAAATTCATAAAGAAGCGGAAATTAGCAGAAAAGCGAAGGAATTTCCTCCCTGCATACTTTTTTGCAAGTTTTTCTCTCTTCTTTTTTTTTTTAAATAATTTTTTGAAAGGTGCAGAGAATTTGTTTTATTTTGATTATTAAAAAGTGTCTGGAAAAAAGACCCTTCCAATAAATAGACATCTGGATATGGGACTTGGTACTGTAGTTCTTGATACAAAAATACACTACTTTCGAAAATGCTCTAGAACATTTTGAAGTTTATTCAGTTTGCACTTTGGAGCAATAAAATATGTGACTAAAAATATAAACAATTTAAAACACAGATGTTTCTTATTTTTATTTATTACATCTAAGTTATCAGTTTAGGTTTTATCTGAATTTAAATCAAGCTTTGTACCAGAAAAATAAACTAATCATTTTGTACATTGTGGGGGGAACTACAAATCCAAATGCTTAAAACTTATCACTGAAAGTCATTTATATTTAGTAAATAAATTAAATTAATTCTTTATAAACAATGTAAATAAAAATTTTAATCAAATCATCACATTTTGATTCAAATGATGTACATATAAAAAGTGAATAATATATAGAATAAAACATTCAACAATTCCATTTCAACGTTTCCATTTGAACATTCTTTGAAAAGGAATTCTCTTCATTATTACAAACCAGATTCAGAATAAATTGATTTTGTAAGTGATAAACACATCAGACGGGATGAGGTAGCTTTATAAATGTCACGAAAAATGATGACTAAATTCTTACCTTAAAATATAAGTTGCAGTTAAAATATGAGTTATAAATAATATAATGAAACAACTCTCACTATTTAAAAATACATCAATTGTAGCATTTTACAAAAATATATAATTAGAAAACTAAAACATAAGAATTATCACGAAGCAGAATCTACTTACCAAAGTTATAGTGCTGTACAGTATTTAAATAACCATATACAGGATTATGACCAAATATAACAATCATATAGTTTCCAACAACTGTTGCAGTGTGTCCCATGGCAGCTAATGGACTACAAGGCTCAGAATGGCAATTTTGATCCATAGTCATCTTTGATAACAAATGCCACGTCCGTTTAGTTGTGTTAAAAAGCCATAATTCATTAAGAACTGTTCCATTATACAACATACCACCATACATGTAAAGGTTATCCTGTAAAGATAATATTACATAGAATTTTAAATGTCAAAATTTATGATTATGAAATACACACCAAAGATTTAATATTAAAAAGAAGATGGATTTTTAATACTATGAAATACCAATTACAAAAGTAAACCATTCGGAATATTCAATAAGTAAAAAATTTCATTTATGTCAAATAATTAAATTAGTTCAGGTATTTTGTAAGAAAATGCATTAAAATTTAAATTAAAAAGCATCATAAGCAAGTATTTCAGTTTCAAAACCTTAACTATTGAAAAAAAAAACAATATGCCTCATTTTTCTAATAAAAAAACATTAGAAATACATTGTATAGAAAAGATGCAGAGCAGATGTACTTGATTCTTGATTCAATAAATTTGATTTAAAATTATTTTGATCACCACAATATATAAAAAAAGTTCAATTACACACATGAAAAACCTTTTCACACGATGCTTAAAAGCATTGAAAGCATTGTATTTTAAAAGAAAAAAGTAAACAAAAATAAAAAGTAAACAAAAATAAATTATGCTTACTTTATTTTTCATTTCATTACCACTGAGAAAATTTTTCCATTAAAAGATAAGAATCGGCAATAATATTTACACTTAGTTAATAAGCAAATGCCACAAATTCATCAAAACAATATGACCAATATTTCACTCATGCTTATTCAAATGTATTAAGTATCTTACCTCATATGTAACAACAGAATGGCAATATCTGGATAATGGCTCAACAGTGGAATTACTAGCAATCACTTTCCAATTCCTCTTTATAAAATTATACCTGCAAAGTGTTTAGTAAAACTCACATGAATAATTAAGAACCCAAATGAATTTAAAAGATATTATTTATAAAATGAATCATGAAGGTAGATAAATTCTGCTTAACAATTATTACAACTAATAAAATTAAAAACTAATGCAAACAAATATTAAAAAATAAAAATAAATCTAAATATTTCATTCACATATTAGGAATTTCTCATAAAAACAACATAATGATTTTAAAAAATGTGTATAATAGTTTTAAACTTTTACTCATAATAAAAAAGGAACATGAGTATTTAATAAAATGCAGAAATTAAGAAGCTATTTTTAATTTCAGATCATTCTCAAAGTCATAACTAATATACTTTAAATTTTAACAAGGAATCCAGAGTTACAGTCTAAAATTTAAATAATAGCACATTAATGTTTGAAATTTAAAATTTATTTGCTGGTTTACATGACTGACTTTCATATTTACTAAAGAAATAGAGGAAAAATCAAAGAAAAAGAAAAATATAAATCATTGCATGACCAACATAAAAAAAATGTTATGCCTATTATTCAAAATATAGCTGCTAAAATATTTGTGGAAAATATTTAACACGATTTTCTAATTTTCAAACCTCTTTCAAAATGCATTTTATTTTTCCCCAGAATGTAGTTTCAGAAATAGGTAATTTAAAAAGTCTATTAATACATTCAATCATTAACCATTGTCACTTTAAAGTATAAAAAATTCATATTTTTTAACAAAATACATATTTTTTAACAAATACATATTTTCCTACATATATCAGAAAAGTATGGTAGGGGAAATTAAGTGACAAATACTATACCTCATTAGTCTGAAGTTATAAACTTTTAAAATGATTAGCTTCTGTATAAATAATGTAGAGGACAACATAATAAGCAAAACATAATTTAAAATGGCATAATGCTAATTTTATGTGTTCATTAAAAACAAAAATAGCAATAATATTTACAGCAATTACATAATTACATTTCAAAGTATAAAACCTGCATAAAACAGTTAATCTGAAACATGAGCCTAATCTATTTAAAAAATCAATTTTATTCAGGAAATTAGTATGGAAAGTGGATTTTTACTGAAAAAGAATTCATAAAAATATATTTTTGAGTGAACATTATTCAAGACTTATTTTTGAGTAAGCATTATTCAAAAATAATAAATACAATAGCTACTAAGATCACAGTATAGGTGAAATTTTATTAACCCTTTCGCGTTTACTGTCACATATACATTCCAGCAAGAAACACGCTTACTTCCCAGCCAACACACTAGCTTGCCAGAGCGTTTTCTAGTTAACCCCCGGCCATCACTCATTTGTGCCAGCCCTTCGGAACGTTTTTTTTTTAAAAATTCTTCCATAAGATGGCATTGCTTATCCATATGGTTTCAAATACATGTAGAATTGACCTTCTACTCAAGATGAGAGTTTTTAGGGGAAAGGAATGTTTTATGACTGCTCCTTAAATTCGTACATGGATTCATGGATTTGTTTACAGTAAGCAGGGGAGGTTTTCTTTTGCTACTTTCGATTTTCTGTTTAGTTTTTAGTGGTTAGTTAGATCTTGTAGATCCCTGTTTTAAAATTTTTCGTACGAAAATAGAACTTTAAGTCATATAGTTAGTTTTCAGATATGTAACGTTAAATGTTATGAAATGATAAGTAGATAATGAAAATAAAATGCGTAAAATATATATTTAAACAAAAAATAACTTAAGTAAATAAAGTATCCATAGAAATTTATATAAAGTGTAGGTCATTTAAATACTCTACAGAACAATATTAAACAACGCGTTGATATTTCGGTAATTTCATGGAATTAGGCTTAACAGCAAAAAACCCTCCACCCCTGGAAAAACACATGCGAGAGAGACTGACGGCCTCAACAGTAAGCGCGCTTTCGCGCTTCCCGCAACAAAAAAGGTTAAAACTATCCTCCTAATATTTACTTAGAAAACAAACAAACAATGACATTTTACTAAATTTAAAGAAAGTAAGCCAAGTTCTGATGGAAAAAAATTATAAGTGCTATTATACCAAACGAAAAATATATAATAGTAATAAAATTAGACATTAACAAACATTGTATAGAAGGCAATGCATTATTTCTAGTTCATTTTTTATAAGAGCTTGCAACAATTCTTTTATTTATATATATANAAAACAAATGGCAATGTTTTTATTCTCTAAAACTTGAATACACATTTACATGGAATTTAATTAAAAAATCAAATAGAGATGTAAAAGAGTTAAATACCTAATCATATTTTGAAAACTTGCGTGGTGAAAATTTTCTCCTCCAATAACCCACATTTCATCACCAATGACAACAGCTTCGTGTAAAGCACGCCCTTGTATTTTAAGTTTAGCTGGCTCCTCCGCCCACCACCCTTCATCAATTCTAAAACTGCAATCAAAACCTGAAACATAAAAGCAATATGATTATTCAAAAAATATACCATGTTGCTATATTTTTTAACTAAGCAAGCTATTATAAAAACAAGTGTATTTTTTAACTGTTTTATTACTAAGTTATATTATAAAGACAATGAAAAACATAAATAAACTGAAAGAAATAAGTAAAAAGTACATGTTAAATACTTTAAAGTTAGAAATTAAACCACATAAAAAAAGGATTTGATTTGTAAATAAATTATGCAAATGTTAAATTGAAACATTTTATTTTCTTAACCAAACTTAAAATATGGATGAAATATTTTAACTTTAAAATAGCAATCATTTTGTATATACTATATTCAGGTACACATATATTGGAGTTATGCTATTAAACTACCATTTTTTTGTAAAATTTATATGATTACAATAAAACTAGCTATGTAAACTTAAAAATATATAAGGTACAAAGGTAGGGTAGAAACAAAATGGCCAACATGAAATTTTTCTCTTAAATCATAAATTTAATTCTGCATAGTCACAAATATCATGAAATACAGTACAGAACCTGTTATCCGGAAATCAGAAAACCGGAAAACCAAAAAACCGGAACGAAATTTGAAAAAAAAAAAAGAAATAATAATTTTTTTTCCTCATAAGATATTAGGATTTTTCGTTCTTTTTTGAAAGCTGTTTACCTTACCATCATTTTGGAAATAATCATTAGTGTATTACTTCATCGTTTTTTCTTCTTCTTAAGATTATTTCAATTTTTTTTTTTTTTAGTTGGGTTTAACTATAAAAAAACGGCTTTTCGTAGAGATTCAGAAAACCGGAATAATCAGTTATCCGGAATATTGATGGTCCCGATCGTTCCGGATAATCGGTTCCCTACTGTACTGTTAAATCATTGATATCCAAATTAAAGTCTGAAAAGAAAAAAAACCATGAAAGAAAAAAATTATGAGCCCATTTATAGAAATATAATGTCAAGAAGATAAAAATGCTGTTAAACTGTTAAATTAATAGAATTTGAATTAGTTGAAAACTTAATGGAACATTTTTTTTCTTAGCCTTACATAAAGCATCGAGACTTAATAATTTTATGGAACTGGTGAAAAACAGACCACAAATCATTCAATTCCTAACATAATTAACAATGGAGATTTGCTGTATAATAGAAATATATAAACAGTTATTATATGTCAGCTAACAAAAATAATTTATAAATTAGTGCTTAAAAATATATTTGATACAATGAGCTAAAATTTAAAATTAGTGTTAATAAATAAGTTTTTGTACATCAGACGAAAATCACACGAAAATGTAGTGGGGAAATAACTGTTTTAATATAATAGTTAAATTAACATTCCAATTTAAAACCTGGAGGATACAATTATTTTAATAGTTTTTATATAACAAATGCTATTACTTGAATGTGATTATATTAGATGACAATTCAAACATCAGTATAATAAAAATCAATATAATAAATAATCAAGATATTGTACCTTCTTTTAATATTTTACAAATTTAAAGTTCTCTGCAAGAAATATTGTCTTAATATATTACTGTAGTTGAAGAGTAGACAAAATAACTAACTTACAAATTACAATTAAACATTTTATAACATTTCCGCTTTAATTTCATAAAATTATATGCTGAAATATCAGAGGGCAAAAATTGTGAACCATGTCTTTTATAAAACTATTATAAGATAATTCATTATAAGACAAACTTCACAAACTAATGAACAAGATAAAATAATTTTAAAAAAAGACAATGATAAAAGAATTTAGTATTAATTGTTAAAATGTGTTAGTACAAAAGTGTTTCCATTATTTTAACCAACCCCTGTCTATTTATCATTGAAAAGTTATAATTTATAAAGATAAAATTAAAGTTAAATTGTCTTATTTTAGCAATCGTTTCAATTTTTAAATTTTACAACAAGTTTATTCCAATAAACAATATGTTATTGTCATGAGAACACATATTTTCTAGAAAAGTAGTTGGATGATAATATGCATATAAACCCCTTAATCTACTTTATTAATACAAACTGTAGGAAAGAGTTTCTTCACGCGATATGGCATGATTTGGAAACAAAAGAGCTTATTTGTATTTTACTTTCTTTGTTTACATAACCTAGGTTGTTGCTTACATTAGCTGGACTTAATGGAATTCTAATTAGTTATGCGGTCTCTAACCCATGATCCATTTACCGCTGAGGATATTTCACGTCAGCACTGTGGTCGGTGCAAAACGGATGCGGAATTCGTATCGACCAGCCATCAACGGGATCAAACCCCGTTGCACCTCATTGGAAGGCGAACGCTCTATCCCCTGAGCCATTGCGGCTCGGGGAAGGATCAGTGTAGTGAATGCCTTTAAAGGCACTTGGCTCCTTGAAACAAAGTAAATGATTAAGCTGAGAGGACTATATGGCAATCTCATGATTAGCTGACTGGGAGTTCAAAACCTATCATTGACACTCTACAAAATTTTATACATTCCTCCAACACATGAGGACTAACCACTGCAGCACACTTCATATACCTTACAATAAATTTTTTTTTACCATTATAAATTGTTGACAAAAAATATAATTGAGAAATATAATAATTTTTTAACCTGGATTAACAAACTTTTTGAAAATACTTTAAATTCAAAACTTTTAATATATATCTATTCCTTCTAGATATTATATTTAGCCCTATTAGAATATCCCATTTTATAAAACAAACTATTATAAACATCCACTGAATAATAAATGAGATATGAAGGAGAAGAAATGTAGAAGCATGAAAATAAAAAAAATATCCATTTATACACATAATATAAATAAGACAAGTCATTGTTAAACTACAACTTGATGATTAGATTTAAAAAGAAAGAAAAAAATATTTAAACAACACAACATTATAAAAAGAAAGCAAATTACTAAAAAATAATATTCAGGAAAAAATATCTAAAAAAGGGCATAGAGAAAAAAAAAATTTAAAATGTATCATTTCAAAAAAAAATTTCCAACAAATTAATTTAAATACATCAAAGTTAATAATAAGCTTTAATGTATCACATATTAAAGTATAAATTTACAATCAAAACTAGATAAAAGAGCATACAGGAAAAACTACACCAATAAAGTGTGAAATGTACAAATAATAAAGTACACTGAAAATAAATAAAATAATTCAAAAAATTTTTCAAAAAAAAATAATGTCAACAAATGTGTTATCCGAACTATAATAGGCAAACACATACCAGTGTAGCCAGGTTTACAAATACATCGATGATGCTCAACATCACATTCGCCATTGTCTTGACAATTTGAAGGACAAACAGGAACATCACATGCTTCACCAGTCCAACTTGCCCAGCAAGTACAAAAGCCATCAACACATGGTCCCCGTCCAGAACAATTTTTTGGGCAACTGTTAATGCTATAATAATTTAAGAACAAAAACATATTAATCACAAAAATGGCAAAGTCAAATCACTCTAATATTAAACAAAATTTTGAATATTAAGTACAACAATATTTTGACAACCTGGCATTTCCAAGATAGATAAGGCATCTTAATATAACAATTATTTGATCATACTATTACATTTAAGAATAATGTGTACAGAAACAGTTGTACAACTAAGTTAAAATTATAAACTATATTTTCAAATTTATAGCTAAATGTGTATAGTTTAGATGAATATAATATCAATTTATAAAATTTCAAGCAAAGTTGTTTTAAATAGTTTCATAACTTTAATTTTAAATATGAAATATACAAATAATACTAACAAAATATCCTACATAGCTACAAAAATTTTAAATTTAAAAAAAAATTAATAAAAACCTTAGTTACGGAAAATAAAATTTTACAGCTACAGTTAAAAAATTTATTGTATTTTATCTTTAAGAAAGACAGAAAAAAACATAAGTATCTTAATAATTCAGCAATTATTAAAACACAGATTGTAAAATTTAAGGGAAAAATATTTATGCAAACAAAAAAAATTAATTTCCAAATTTTATTTTTTTATTTATTTTAATCATAGTAAGAAGTAGGTTCAAAAGAAAGTGATTTAGCAATCTAAATTTTTCGTCAGGAGATAAAAACTCTCACTAATAGTTGAGAACAAAGTTTATTTAAGAATTTTATCATCCAATCAGTCCGAAGTTAAATATTAGTTTAGAAACTACATATTAAGTGTAAATCTTAAAAACAAAATAAAACAAAAATGGCTCATCATAATTTATGTAAAGTTAAGAAAGAAATATTCAAGAAAGCTTCAATTATAAAAAATATTTTGTGTGCAGCTAAAGGATTAGGGATTGTGAAGGTTTCTCTACTATCCCAGTATATTTTATGTCATGGAGTAAAAGAAAATTTACAAGCAAGTTCATTTTATTGGATGACTACACAGATTTGAATAGAATATAAAATCTGAAAACATGCTTAATTATTTAAACTCTAGTTGAATAATTATAAAAAGCAAGTAAAAAATTTAAAATTACCTATACGTAATATTTACACCACTCATGTTATATGCAGCATCACTATAAAAGTAGATATATGCACTTCCTGATGTTGCGACAATTTCAGATAATTTGTCAGAAGGTGTTCCATATCTTACAAGTACTCCGCTAAAACAATTTTAATAACCATATCAAAGTAAATTGAATTAAACATGTTCAAACAAGCTGTAATTTCAGTTTTAAAAGTTACATAAAAATGCTAATTAAGCAACTTAAATTATTCAAAGTTACAATTTCTTAACAAACTAAGATATAAAACCACGTTAATTTTCTTTAAAAAAAAATTTATCAAAAACAAAATTTTAAGAAAAAAAAATCATCCATTTTTAGGATTACATAATAAATAAAAAAAAATTTACTATTATTCTACATGTTTAGTCCTAATTAATAAAGTAAATAATGTAAACAAAATACGCATACGAACAAGACTATATGAACAAGACTTTTTTTAGATTTCCGAACACAACTTTATTAATTTCTATCTGATTTGCTTCAAAATTTACAGCTTAAAAAAGCATTTTTATCACAAAAAGCTACCACATTACACAAAAATACCCTAAGACACAACAACCCTTTAACATTTAATTAATCAAAGAATCCTATGTGCAACAAAAACTACATTTGTTGTATGTTGTTCTAATAAAATGCAAGACTTAAAAAACTAAAATAGTCTATTTTTACTCAAAATGGTAAAATAATTAAAAATGAAAATAGATAAACAAGTCTAAATATAAACTTGAAAAAAAAGGAAGATATGTTTTTATTTTTATAGATTTATACATACTTAATTATACAGAAAAAAATTTATCACAATTTCCTTAAATATAAATAAAGTGCTGAAAATTAATTTAAAGAAAGAGAGTTACAACAAACCTATAAGCTGCAAGTAATCGAGAAAACACAGAATCTCCATCAAATATATACAAATGATCCCAACTACATTCAGTTTCAAAATGTGCTACCTCCAATCTAATAGTGCTATTAGGTAAGCCACTTTCAATAAGCCAGGTGCATTGCATATCAACACTATAGTTTCCAGTGCCATCGATGATGAAGCCAGATGGTTCTGTTAATCTAAATTAAGGTAAAAACACCATATCAATATAACTTTTCATAAAAGTACTTTTTTCCCTGCTATAAAAGCCTCATAAAATGTTATGTTTCAAAATAAAACAAATCATAAGTCATACTAAATATAGGTCCGCACATTTCTTAGGGAGATGCATGCAAGAAAACTATTAATAGAAATTTCAATCATATTATATAACCAGCCTTGAACAGTTGACCCATTTTTTGGCTTATGACTATCAATGGTGAACCAATGGTGAACTTTGTACCCTTGTCATTTTGAATCAATTCTGTATCAATTTTCATTACAATTAACATGTTGGGTACAACATGGCATCAAATAAATGCCTCAGCTCATAAATTCAATTAGATGGTGGGACTCTATTATGTGCCATATTACAATATTTAACACATAGGCATTTAAAATCCACCATCTGTGCAAACTATTTATATTATCTGCTAAAAAGAGTTGTACCACAACCGTACTCAACATGTTAAAAGAAAATAAAAATTATTTTAAATAATTTATTTTAAAAGAGAATTGTAGTCAAAATGGTTTGTTACGACACTTCCCATACAAAATTAAAGTGAAGCAAGTCATAATCATCCCAAAATCAAGCAATTAAAATAATACTAAAACCTGTATTAATTTTAATAATTTTCAATGTTTCATAAGTGCAAAAATCAAATCACTTGAATGCTTAAATCAAAATGCAGTAAATTAAAAATGAAACCGCTATAAGATTATAAAATTAATTTTCCATAAAAATATATAGTGCGTTAGTTTACAGATATGACTTATTGGAAGACTATATACAAAAAAAAATTTATAAAGAGTTCATAGCGAGACTGCTAAGCTATTTTTTTAATATATACAATAGATACTATGAAAGGTAAAATTATGGTAAAATAACTATAATGAGGAAACATATAATTTAAATTTGATATTTTTCTAAAATGATTTTTTTTTAATTAAAACGCTAGCCTCGGGGTTGGCTGGTTGAAACCTTTGATTATTTAAAAACAAACTTTGTTTTTTTATTATAAAAATATTTTATGCAATAAAATTTTCAATTTATATAAATTCTTCCAGTTCGCTTGTAACAAAATGAAAAAGGATTACATTTTCCTACATTATTTTGCAATTTTAAGTTTCATTGCTAATGGGAATCAGTAGTATTTCAAATAAACATAAAACTGCAATTTTTAAAATTTTATGTAAAAACAGTTATCCATAAAAATATAAATGTTAAACAGCATTGGCATTTTGTCCAAAAGAAACCTAATTTTTCCAGGACAATGGAGAAAACTAGAAAAACTGGACAAAGTGGAAAACTAAAAATGAAAAATACAATTGCTTAAAAATAAAAATTTTAATTATTTATTTTTTATTGTAGTTTTATGGAGAATTTTAAAATCATATTAATTAAAAGTCGGTTTAAGTATTCATTCTTAATATTATTTGATTATGAAAATTAGCATGCTATTTGTAATTGACAATTCAATGTGTTTTTAGTAGTATCCATATTTAGTATGTGATTTGTTAATTTAGTGGTTTTGATAATTTTATTTTAATTGTTCGTTATATAATTATAAAGTTAAGTTTTACTCTCTTTAACATAAAATATTTTTTTTAAAAAAAAACAATTTATATTTATTTCTTAAGAAAAAAAAATTCTATAATTTTTTCCGTTTTTTAGTTCACACCTGTTTAAAAATATAAAATCCTATGTAAAAAATAGCTATCCTATGTATAAATAGCTGAAAAATTAACTCTAATGTTTAAACTAGATTCAAATTATAAACTGTTTAAATATTAGATATTTCTTTTTGAAAAAGAATTTCTTTCACTTGGGTTGGAAAAAAACTATTTTCTCAAAGAGTGGTTATCGCCATTGTAGAAGAAACTTGCCATCCTTGATGTTAAATAATGTGAACAAATTTTAAGTCAATGTCCCTTTAAAATGCTTAAAATAAAAGAGCACCCCATGTTCTGCAGTTTTTAAAATTGGTTAAATAATGTAATTATTGAGAGAGTTCAAGTTTTCTCAAATTTATCTTTAACTATTTGATAAATACATTATGTTTGATGCAATCAAAAGTATAAATAGCAATGAGGTGTTTTCTAAATTTTATTTTTTCAGTTTAATCTTAGAATTATTTTCTGCTTGTGCAAATGTATTTGTATTTTATATATGCAGTATGTTTATTATTCTAATTTTACAATTACATTTTTCAGATTATATTTTTTTAAAAACTATTAAAGAAAAAAATATATAAAATTTATGCTGCAATATGCCCATAACAGGGTTGCCACAGAAAAAAATGAACAAAATAGTTGCTTCTAGTAGCCTAAGTCCCGCAGTGGACTGATCATTAAGACACGGTTCCCAGCAGATCACTGAAGTCAAGCATCACTGGCTGCAGTCAGTGTGCGGGTGGGTGACCACTTGGATCAGTCTGCGTAGGGACCGAGGGTGTGCGGAATTGGTCCTCGTTAAACTGTTCTACCGTAAAGTGCTCAACTTCGCGTGCAGGTCATCGGGCTACCGAAGCGGGGGTGCCATCCCCTCTGTGGAGGATCAAAATTGGGATGGCGTGTCTTTGGATCATCGTCAGGGATGTTTCCCAGACTGTCGCCAATAGCCCATTGTGCAGCTCTAGTGCGATGTAAATGAACAAAATCAATCTAGTAGCCTAAAGCATGAAAATAGTTACCAAAAATTATGAAAATAGTTGCCTAAATAAGAACAAAAATTTCTCAATAATATGACTAAAATTTTATTAAATTACTTCATTGTAATATATCATGATCCATTTAGTCAAGTTGATGGCCAATATGATAATTTTTAAATAAACGTTAGTGTTCTAGCACTAAATTTGCATTTAAAAAAATTTGTATATTTACAGAAAATTAAATACTTTTAAATGCTAGAATTAATTCAGAAAAATAATCTTTCTAAAAAATTTTCATTTTTATCAATAATTGAATTAACAAATATATATATATACTGAAAAGTTATTACTAAAATTCGAAATTCATGCATCATAATATTGTATTAAAAATAGGGTTCTTTAAAATCAAGCAAAATTTTGCAGCAATAACTGTTGAAAAGACTATTAAGAAACAAAATAGATTTACAATAGAATCTGCGCAAATTGAGCTCATAAAAAAGTGATGACTCAAATTTGCTATTCAATTTTTTTTTATTTTTTAAGAAAAAAAAATTCATTATGTCCAGAAGCTACCGTGGGAGGCAGGTTGTCAACCCAATTTATGCTAATAAAAAAAACATCAATAGAAGCACAGAAAAGTCTCCCAATAGTCTCCTTTTCTTGAAAATAGTTGTTTTTTCGACTTTTCAGGCAAAAAAAGTTGCCATAGTTGCCTCAGGTCGAAAATAGTTGCCTGCGGCAACCCTGCACAAGAATATTGTTAGATTTAAAACTCCATTATGTTAAAATAAATTATAAATAAGTAATTTATTCTTTATTTTTCAACTTGTTATTACTAACATACCTTTACAGTTTTATGCTTTTATGTATGCAGACCATTTTTCTTTTCATTTCTTTTATCATTCTTTGAATTTTAAATATTTTTAATTAACAAAAATGTATTGCCTTAAATATCTCATGCCCATTTATATTAAAAGTGGTATTGATTAAATAAATGAAAAACAAAAATATATTTTACAGCAATCAATTGATATTAATACTACAAACTGTATGAGGATATTAATGTAAATAATTCTGAATCACAGCATTTATTTATATACTAACACTCAAGGAGGTTAACTTAACTTTTATATGCATGCACTACTAAAAAAAGCAATTAGATATTAAATGTTTATTTGCTTATTAAGTGGAATGGTAATAATTATTCAAGATTTTTAATTATTATATTATTTTCTATTATGTTCACTTATTTATGAGCAAAAGTGAATATTTTTATATTTATCAAAATATTAATCATTAGTTAAAAAGACTTCTTTGAAATTTTTTTAATGGTTTAATTACTTTTAATTTGGGGCTTAGCATGTTGTTTAACCTTATGTTTTAAATAAACCAAATAAACATGTGGTTTAAGCAACAAGAACAAAAAAACTGGTTTTTCAAATTTTTTATTTAAAAAAAACTCGGGTGTTAAAAAAAATTTATTTTATATACCTGGTTAACCTAAGTAAGTGACAATTAAATACAAATAATCCCTTATTTGCTAACATATTTTTTTTTCAATTCCTTGTTTTTTATTTTTTGATAATTGCTGCCATAAAATAAAGCTTTTACTTAAAAATTACCACAAAATACTACAGAGTTGGGGCTTAAACCATGATTTTAACCATGGCCATCACAGGGGCTTGATTTTTGAAAGGGACGCAATACAGGCATTTATTGATTCAAACCAGATGCAATTGAACAACACGTAAGATTGCTGAGAGAATTAATTGAATTCAACCATTCATGATCATAAAAAAAGCATAAGGGTAAAACTTAAGGCTTCATATATGGGTTCCCCATATTCTTAAGGAAAGAAATTTGCTGCGTAGACGTCTGTGATTTGTTTTTCAAACATCAAGAAAGCCATCCATTTTTTAAGCCCATTATCACTGGGGACGAGAAATGGGTTGTCTACAACATTTTTTAAATAGTCAAACCTTTACTTCAAGTAAGTAGGTTAAAAAACACTAAGCTCAGCTTTTTGCCAGCAAGAAAAAAAATTATGTTCATTGAATCATGCTGCTGAAAGAAAGATGGCAAAAGGTAATGGACCAAAATGGACAATATATAATTCAATAAAATATTTATTCACTATAAGAAAATCACTTTTGATTGTCATAAAAAAAATTACTTAAATAATTATAAGAATTAACAATGAATTTGATTTGGGCCAAATAAGCATGAATTTAAAGGCGAATTAAGCATGAATTTAGAGTAATTATATACTTATTCTAATGAAATTAGATACTTTAAAAAAATTAGCTACAGTACAAGGATCACCTTGAAGTTCATGGAAAAAACTTACGAACTTCATACTATTTACCAACAATTTTAGGACTCTTAAATAGCTCCATAATTTTTCCAAACTCCAATAATTACATTAATTATGGTAAAATTACCAACAGGTGAATTTTTGATGAAAAAAATTGCATTAAAATGGAACATCACACTTTTTATGTTTAACAGCCTGAATCAAATCTGTTATTAAATTCACATAATTGCTAAAGTAAGCACTTTTGTCCACATGTTTTTTCTAATGCTCTTTTTTCTCGCTTTTTCTTCTAAAGCATTTTTTTTCCCACAGAACTTTTTTCTGTAGTTCTAGTATAAAGTGTCAATCATCGCAAAGAAATCCACAAACTCTTGGTTTTGTAGTGAAAATGTGCAGTTGTTGTTCCGAATGAAATTTTCATATCTGATGATAAGCAGCCTTAAATATCAAATAAAATTAGAAACTTTCTGGGAACACAAAATTTCAATTCTTTCATAGGCATCAGTTTTTGGCAAAATTTGTTTGAAAATCAGAGATTTTTCTAAAATCGTTTTAATTTTTATAAGACTTTCATACCATAGGGAAGACAGTGGTAAAAACTAAAAAAAGCTGAAAAGAGAAATCCAAAAGTTTTATGCCCAAAAATACTTTTTAATAATTGAAAAAAATACCTGAACTTTGGGCAAGAAAAAAGTATGCAGGAAATATTTATCCACAAAATCTTATCAAGGTTTTAATAAAAATATTGATGTGAGATTTTATTGAAATAATGTGAATAAGAATCTCAATGCACGATTAATAAATCATGTAAATATGAATCTTGGTATTTAGTTTTAAAATCATGTGAATACGAATAGCGATGTATGATTTTAAAAATCACATGAATACGATACGAATAACCTTATTCACAGATCATTTTTCATTATGCAAACAGAATAAGGTATTATATGGAATATTATATGCAAGCAGAATATAGTATACAAAGTAAGTTGTTCTGAAATAAATTTACCTTAGTCAAAAAGACTTGAACCACACAGGTTTCTTAAACATTACATTAGTTACTAATATCAAAATACAATTACAAATCATGTGTTTGCCTTACGAATTGAACATGAAAGCTCACATTAAAAGAATTCTCTCTTTAGGAATGTCAAAACAACAATATCTTTAAGAAATGAAAAAACTTAAACAGCAATTATTTTTATAACTGCATTACTTATCTGATGAGAAAGAAATTTTAGCATAAACCAAAAATTAAAATATATATTTGTATTTTATGTTTGAAACAATCAAATTCTCAACAATATTCTAAAAATATACATAAATATCATTTAAACTTGAAGGTTAAACCTAATCACCATGAAAATGTTTTACTCTTGTTCATACAATAAATTGATTGATTGAAGAAAGGAAAAATGGTTACTTAAATTGGTTTAATTGATTTAAAAAAGCTGGTTAAAAAAAAACATTGATTTAAATGAGTTAAACAGGAAATAAAGACAAGACTGAAGAAATAAGTTTCTTCCAATCCAAGAGGAAGAAATAGAAGAAACTTTTTGAAAACAGAAACATGGAATTTTACAAAAAAATTTTTGACAGCTTATAATTGAAATCTTGTTTAAATAATAATGCTAGTTTTCAAACTATGTAATCTAGCATTTTTAATTACGTGAAATCCAAAAAGCAACAATTGGAAAGGAAAATAAATTTAATGAATATTTCTTAAAAATTCAAATAGCTGTGTGACTTCAATATTTTGCATAAATGAATATAATAAAACCTTAACAATTTAAAAATTGTTAAAATATCACAATCATTCTTTTCATTATCCTAATCAAACTATAATATCTTTATAGACTCAGACTTTTAGGTACCTCCAACTTCAATTAAATCCTTTATTTGACTTTTTGAGCATTTTTTATTAATATCCTGGCATTTCCCTAATTTCTACAGAATGATAAAATTCACTGTTCCTTGTGGCCAGCCTGTTAATACCCCCAGAGTAAGTGACTGCTTTGGTTCCTAGTGAAAATTGATCTCAGCAGGATCAAATTCAACAATAGTCCATGCATATATTTATGATGAGAAAGTCTTACAATAAGAAATTACAAAAAAAACTTCTAAATCACAAACAAACTAAAGCAAATATCCAATATAATTGACAAAAAAACTTTAATGTCAAATGTTTTGAAAAACTAATACTAATAAATAATTTAATAATAAATAGGAAAATAAATCATAGGGCCGAAAATACATAAAAAGTCTATGTTTAAAAATAAAACTAAAGAGAAACAATACAGTGTAAACAAAGTATCCTAAAATCACAGAAATAAGGCACAACAAAAAAATACAAAAATACGGAGAAATCGGTTACGTTTAAATGAATTAATAGTCTATTAAGATCCAAAGAAAACACATTTTATTAAAACGTTTCCATACACATAATATCAATAAATATGAGAAGTCTACGAATGTAAACAAACACACTTATAAAGTGAGATTGAACTTTCGTCCAATCGACGCAGAATTACATTGTAGTAAAACAATAATTTCAATATATTGGGAAGCATAAAACTAAATTTTAACTAAATTTACTGCTTGATTTTATTATTTAAATATGTTGTTTAATTTTTCCTTCATTGGCCAAGGTACACTGGTATACATCTATACACTACGTTTGATTAGGAATCGCTAATTATTGTTGCTCGCTTTGAATAATTAGACTTTTTGTTTATATTTCATATATTAAAATAAATAAAACTTACCTGACCCGACCACCGCAACGATGACATCCAATTCCCTGCCACCCCGGGTTACATATACAACGGCCTTCCCTGCAAACACCGTGAACGCATTGTACATCGTGACACTGAAACGATGTTAATGCAACAGATTCTACCGAAATTAAAATATAAAATGTCAGGTTAATAAAAATATATGCATATGTCAGGAAATCTCGAAGCTTGATTTGTTTTCCATGCGTAGAAAAAATCATTAAAATTTCCATTATCGCCCTTCCATTGCTGCACTATACCGTAAAGCATATTCCTATTCCAACCTACCCGACTACCAAACAAAGTGGAAAAAGCACATTCGCAGCCAAATGTGACATTCGTCGCCAAGTAAGTGATATTGCAGCCGCACTACAAAATTAAAAATTTTCTTTCTTTAAAATCTTTTCTAGAAGTTTAACTTATCTAGATAAGTGATAAACAAAATATGTTTACATTTTTTCCGATTACTTTGAGTGAGATTTTTTCATATTCATTGATCAAATAATGAAATATTATCTCAATTAAGTAATAAACAAATATAGGAAAAAACTAATTCACATTAATTTGGGTATAATTCTAATAAATATGCGGAAAACATTTTCTTAATTGAAAAAGGATAAGGAAAAAAAATTTCAACATTTTTCCATTTTATTAAAAATTGAGAAAATCTTCTCTACTAAATTTTAAAAAAAAATCCGAAGCTAATTTTGATGTTTTAATTCAAATTATTATTTTTATAAATAAACTAGAAGTTGAAAGTTATCACAAATTTAAATTATTCTTTTAAAAAATCAATTTGTATCGACAAATAATGTAAAAATGTAATTAAGTTGCGCTACAAATTTCTTCCGCAAAATTTCACGAAACTGAATGAAGACATTTTAGGGTTGCTCCACCAGCAAGATACGTAGCGCGATTAAGTGCCAAATCGGAATGATTGTTCTCTCTAAATGACTTCCGCAGATCAGGGTATAATAGAGGGCGCTACAATCGAGATTTGACACGTAAGTTCAACAACTTAAAGAAAAAAAAGGCTGATGACCCATCTAAAATTATGAACACCTGAAAGTGAGAAAGGTTTTGTTTGAGTCGATTTAACTCCCTTTTTTTGTTAAAAACTCGTATTGTAGCCTTTTTTTAAAGCTTTCAATTAAGAAATACAAATACCTGTTTCTTGAATATGAATGAAAATTTATTAATTTATAGTAATCAACGGGATAGCAAGAAAGGGGGCATGAACCCTTGNTTTTTTTTTTTTTTTTTTTTTTTTTTTTTTTTTTTTTTTTTTTTTTTTTTTTTTTTTTTTTTTTTTTTTTTTGCTTGGTCATTTTCACCTGTGGATGGATGAAAAACGGCTTTCTGAAGTCAGCAATACAAGAGGATAAATAAAATTTTCGTCTGAAAAAATATGGAAAATTTAACTATTTTGAGGGAGGAGCATTGAAATAAACCTATTCAGCTAAATCTATTAATGCAATTGAAAAATAAGATAATTTAATGAAAAACTTGAAATTATTTAGTTTAAAGTACAGAAAAAAGTGCCTTTAAATTTCAAAGTGAATAATTAGTTAGTATTCGATTATTCTTTATGAAGCAATTAATTTTTATTCAATTTCATTTAAATGTTATTAGATAGTACTTAATTATATGACGTTTTTTCTAAATTATAGGAAGTTGTATTCTCATCCGATAATTAAAAATTATAAAGTTGAAATTATTGAAAAGAATTGACAAATTTGTTATTTTATAATAAATTTAGATTTATAACAATCAATTTATTAAATAATCTAAATTTTCTGCGATGTTGATTTAATATAAAATGCATTTCCTGAAAAAAAATTTATCTGTTTTTCTTACATTTGTTCAAACAAATGTTTGTCTTGAAGGAAACTTATTTTTTAAATTAATTTTTGAAAAATGCACTTTAAATTGTTATTCATGGTTTATTTGTGTTGGTTCTTATTTAGTAACAAGGGTATTTGTTTTCAGCTTAAACTCGCCCACCCTTAAACCACGTCCTATCTACATAAAGCATTTCCCCAACAGCCCATTGTGAGCCAGGATGTCATGGAAGTTAAGTTTCCACAATTTCGTGACCAACAGCATGAGCTTCAGTACGACACTGGCAATCAAACCCCAGTTCTTTGCTAAGACAGGTCAGTTGGCTCAGGGGATAGAGCGTTCGCTTTCCAATGATGTGACCCGGGTTCGACTCCCAGCGTTGGCTCCTCGATACGAATTCTGCTCACGACTCACACTGACCACAGTGCTGACATAAAATATTCTCAATGGTAGTCGGATTATGGGCTAGATCCCCTAATAGTCGGACTGACAGTGGAAGGTTTTCGTGTTTTTTTTCCTCTCCGTGTATACGCGTTAGTTCCACCAAACTGTCATCCATGAAGGGTAGTTTGCCCCCAATGCTTGATACAGAAGTTCCCTTGTCTTCTGGGTTGGGTTCAAAATTACAAGACTACGGAGTTGAACATTGATTGTCTTATACTCAGAATTGGGTCGACTGTTCGACGTCGATTATAAAATAAAATAACGGGTACTTGCCATAACCAACGAGAAATCGTGACTCCCTGTTTAAATAAATTTGTTTAAAAAGAAGAAGAAAACAATCTCGCCTCCCTATTTAAATAAATTTGTTTAAAAATGAAAAAAGCAATCACCTTTCCCAAGAAAGAGAACTGAGTTATGCGAAAGCATTCATCCTGGGCTTTATTGAGGACCCCAAATGGGCCATCAATGCACATTTGGAAAATTTTTGTTATTGAAGCCAAAATTTTTCTCAATTTTGTTGCTTGAACATAATTAAATTTTCATAACTTAATATATTTTACTTTTATTTTTGTAACAAGAATTTTTGTTTGTGTCCCGACCAAGGAATTAATAAATTGGTCCCTGACTAAAAACAATGAGATGAGAAATATAGTAGCATCTCAATTTTATGCAGTTTAAATTAAGGTACAAAAATGCTTCTTGCGCAGCATGGGTAACTTATTTTCAATCTTCTTTATTATTTCTACTGCTTATGGTTTACAATAAAAGTTACTGTTAACCATCTAATTACTTTACATTATAAATGTAAAATAATTGGATGTTGGACGAAACCTTTTTTTATACTATTATTACACATACTTTTTTTAATGCATTTGTACTACAGGCAACAAAGTAAGTGGATTAGAGAAAAGTAGCTTAACAACTATCTTCTTTCCACTACTAATTCCATATACGATTAAATAGAATCTCAGGAAACTGATGAAATAAAATTTATCTTTGAAAAAAATTTTCTTTGTGACATGCAACTTATTAGAAAAAGATGCCAAATATATAAAAAATGGAATTTTAGAATTTTTTGTCGCTTCCTTTGTCTTTTCTATTGTCCGGCAGATTCTTGATAATGGACACATCAAAAGTTCGATAAATCATCAAATTTAGAATCTTGATCATAAATTCAATTTTTACTATGCCAAAACTGTTTCTACCTCTTTTACATCAGCTCATCTGGATGCCCTGGAATCTTGTTCCATTCATATGAATGCTAATTACCGTGTTAACGACATTAGTTCCTCACCATCTCTCTACAGCACGTGGAAATGCATTTTACCCTGACTTGCCCCTCTCGGGCACAGTGGTTTTCCTTGTTTTGTTTTCTCAACTCCATTTTTTTATTTATTTGTTTTGTTTCTTTCTCGGCTACTACGGTTTTTCTAGTTTTGTTTTCTTCCTTTATTTTCCATTTTTCGTTGGCAAATTTACGTTTTATATTTCGAAACACTTTCCTCTTTCCTTATTCACACCTGGCAAGTCTTGAGAATGGGGGCCTATTTTCGAGGGCTTGAAACATGCCAACTTTTATTTCTATCTGCATATTTTTAAAGCAAATGAAATTTTGTAATCAAGTAAGATATTGTTTATGTTTCCGTTAGACAATTTAAAAAAAGTATTTTTTTTTTCAAAAAATGCAATACATTTCAGGTTATTAATTTAAATTTATGAAAATCTGTTATAAAATTAATCAAATCTCACTCGCAATGGAATATACATTACCAGCTCTTGCATAGTGTCAAATTTTAAGTAAATCAGATGGAAATTGCAGAAGTTGTCATATCTGTGAAAATGATAATTTTTTTTTTTTTTTATTTATTATTTATTATTAGTATTAGCGTTTAAAATATGTGAACGCTCCATCCATATGATGTAAGACATACATCTTCATCAATAAGTCGGTGTAAAACGTATTATTTCTATTCTATTTAAATAAGTTTCAACTTGTATAAATTTTCTACCATATGCAAACGATCAAATTATGTAAATATAATANAAATATGTGAACGCTCCATCCATATGATGTAAGACATATATCTTCATCAATAAGTCGGTGTGAAACGTATTATTTCTATTCTATTTAAATAAGTTTCAACTTGTATAAATTTTCTACCATATGCAAACGATCAAATTATGTAAATATAATAAAACCGTATAAATTTTAAAGTTTTCGGAAATTTTATTGTTTTATTTTTACGTAATTCGATTCGATAAGAGAAGATAGAAGAGATTTGATAAAAAGTCGTACTTTTGATTTTATATATTTCTTTTACCATTTGATAAAATAAAAATAATAATTAACGCGCGATTTTGTACACAAAGTTTTATTCCGAAATGAGTTAAAAATGTAACCTTTCACACATTTTTCATTTCATCTGTCACCATATTGTCAAACTTTTTTTTTTCTCCTTTAACCCATTTTAGGTCAAGCATAGAAATTTCATAAAATGTGGTATTATTTTCATTGAAATTTGCTTAATTAAAACGCAATAAAAGCTTCTAGCATGAAAAAGAATATTTTATTTAAAAAATAAAATGGTGTATCTGCGCACCATTGGCCAAATCAATGAACAAATCATTTAGTTGAACACTATTTTCTTATGACATGTGTTATATTTTTATTTTATTTACGGAGCTTACAACTTTAATCCATTATAAGTACGTATGATTATTCTCAAGTAGAGTAATTATTATTTTCAAAAAGTCGAATTGGATAATGACCATTTTTAAATTATTTTTAAAAAAAATGTGAATTATAAAAAGTGGTTACACAACAGAAAGTGTTTACTCCAATTGATTTACTAATATTTCAATAGATGTTTAATATATATGGAAAATAATATGTTCTATTGTAAAAAAAAGAAAAAGAGAGTTATAATAATTAAAATACTTAGTCTTTTTTGTAAGAACTAAGGATTGCTTTGTCCATTCTTGGGCACTTTTATCGTCATATACATTTTATGAATTTAAAAAGAAAAAAAAATATCCATACTTATCA